CCCAGAGGGTGCTTATGGTTTCCGGTGGCCCACGACCTTTATTGTGACTTGGGCTTTGAGATGGGTCAATCTTTTGGAGACACTGCACTGTATCCGTTTCAATCAGACATTTACCCGACCCAAATTGGATGGTCCATTTGACCCCTTTCTGAAAGGCTCCATTTATTCATATACAAACAAAATCGCCCTGCCAGTTTTGTAAGTTGATTTATCAATCCGTCCAATCTAATGGATGTATCGTCCAATAGCCAAATCGAATGGTAAGTCTTAACCAACGGTTGGTTAAATCACCATCCCGTTTTGATTTTATACCAACTGCCACGAAAGATCTCAATTTTTCAGATCTCCATGATAGTTGGCCCAGGCATTGCCATCAGCGTCCTCCAGAAGAATAGCCAGTGGCAAAAGGCCTTGGACCTGTTCCAAGACTATCAGGCTGCAGGCAGGGGAAGTTGCAGATTCTTTGTTTTTCGTCTTATCAACTTGAAGCGACCAAGACCCTGATTGGCGCGTTCGTTTGAAGAACTTCGACTCCATCTTTGCCCCGTGCTCTGCAAATGAAAAACCCAAGCCAAAAGCAGGTGATGAGGACATTGACTTGGCACAGCAAGAGACAGAAGTCACCGTGACACCGACGAAAGGCGCAGAACCGTGTCCAACACCACCATCTATGAGCCAGCAAGAGTTTGAGGAAAAGCACAAAACAGTCGATGCGACCATCACTCTGACTGTGGGGACCAGCATTACTTGCTATGTGGTGGGCGGGAAGCTTTTTCTGACAAGCCCAAGCAAGGTGATGTTACCTGGGGTGCAGGCAGAGAACGCAAAGCCACTCCTAATGTACGCAGGTGGGAGTTGGATCTCAGAGTCAGCAACTCAGTTCAAACACAAACCAGTATTTTTCATTTTTCTGATTTTGAAGACAAGACAAAAGTACTGGACAACAATCAGCAGCTCAGGCACAGGAATTTCTCAGCAAAGCAGCCAATGAAAACAAGGCTATTGAGTTCCGGCTTGAATCCGAAAATGCGATGGTACCTTAAGCTTGGATTTCATTTTTCTATGAACTTCCATCAATATGAATGCTTTTGTTTTTGAGCAAACCAAACTTTGTTTTTGGCAGTGTGTTGCACTTCCAAGGTGGTGCCTGAAGAGCAAACAAGTCAAGGACCAGCCGATTCGAATCCCATGACTCTCTTTGAGTTAGTGCTTATGTTGGAGCGAAAGGGCATCTTGGACACAAAGATCACCGGGCATGGTGTTGACCGTCCTCCCTCCGTCAAGCGGGGCGAGGAGACAGATCGACTTGAAGTGGTTCATGAAAGCTATTCCCTGTTCAAACCGAATGCAGTGACAATCAAGACAGCAAAATCGACAAACATCGCAGGCTTGGCTGGGTACAAAGTGTTGAGCGCAAGCAATTACTTGGTCTTGGTCTGGAGACTCTTGGAACATCATTAGAGACATTGTTTTTGAGTGGAAACTATTTTTTGGGGCTGGGGCTGGGGCTGGAGTCAAAGCAGTTGACAACCTAGGAATGAGGCATTTTGCCCGTGAAAAAGTGCTTGGGCCTGCGAAGCCACTCTGGTACGTGAAAGGCATTGGTTTCACCATGGAAGCTGGACTTGTTTACCAACTCACCTAGCTAGCTGAAAAACCTGAGGGTGTAAAGGCATCTTGTGAAAATTCATCCATACCGATGACTTCAGTGCCATAAGTTCCTGATCTTGTCCAATTGCTCGCGCAATTCAGACAGCTGGTGTGATTCTCGGTGATTGTGTCCATGCGAGGGTCACCATAAATGAGGTACTTGCAGGTGTCGCACATCAGCTCAGAATGTTCAGTCACTTCGCCGCGCTCGTCAGTCGAACGGCCAGGCTGGTCAGGCGGGTGCATCTGCTGGGCAGGCGGGTGCATCGGCTGGTCAGGCGGCCTCATCTGCTGGGCAGGCGGCCTCATCTGCTGGTCAGGCGGCCTCATCTGCTGGTCAGGCGGCCTCATCTGCTGGTCAGGCGGCCTCATCTGCTGGTCAGTCCGAAGATGGCCCCTCTTCCAGGTGAGCCAGTCAGACTTCTCCCGGCAGAGACCTGTCAGAGCCCTGCTGGGATTATCCCAACGTCTGCTGCCGCCAACGTCAAGCATTTCGCCTCAGATTAGGATTAGGATTAGGATTAGATTAGATTAGGATTAGATTAGATTAGATTAGGATTAGATTAGATTAGATTAAACAAAAAATAAAACAAATACAAAACACAAAAAAAAAACATTTTTCAAATCTATTTTGCACATAACTGTGATTTCCCAGACTTCCAAACCACCAACCCAAACCGCCATATAAGTATAACCTGAGAACAGGCTGTAGTGGCTGGAAAAAATGATGTATCCCCCAATTTTGGACAAACCCAGAAATAAATATGTCTGAACATGTCTAGTTTCTTAGGGTGTGTCTAAATGAGTATCGGAAAATCGATATGACATGCATTCTTTCCCCCAAAGAAATGTCTGACCCTGAGAATTGGCTTACCGGAAAGAAGTTCTCTGAAACCCGCAGTAAAACTAGGTGTCTGAAAATGTCTGATCCCAACAACTAAGTTTTGTTGGCAAAATAAAAATCTATATCCCCATGATAATTTCTTTCTGGCCCTAAGTGGATATATCATCACAGCTATAGGGGCCCTATATCCCAACTTATGGGGATGAGAATCCTATGGTTATCTCCTTTTTTCAACCCTGGCCTGCACCCCCAAGTTGTTTTTCATGGTGGTAACATCCCATGATACTTCCGTTGTATTCTCATTCTATCCCTTTTCAGCATGAGTTGGTTTTCTATCCATTATTTCCCATTGATATTCCATTACACTATGGTAATATTCCACCATATATTCCACTATATCCCCATTATGATTTCCATATTTATATTGCATTCTCATGTCCATTACATTCCACTATATACATAGATATATATATATAATTACATATAATTATATATAATTACATATAATTATATATAATTATATATATAATCACTATATATATAGATATAATGGTGCTTGATCTAAATTCTATATATATATATCTCTCTCTCTCTCTCCCCATGGTATTCCCCAAGATCGCACACGAAAATATGCTGCCTTTGAAGTCGATCCAGGCCGTGACCAAGGGCTTGGCCCAGGCTGAGGCCTCCAGGAACCTCCACCGAGAATCACGGGCCGTGTTTTCATCAAGCAAAATGGAGGATTTTCCATGATTTTCCTATGAAAATGGAGGTTTCACCAAAGATTTACCACTAGAATCACTAGAATCTCCATGTTTGCTGGTAAAATCCCGAGATTTTCCTATGAAAAATGGAGGTTTAGGATTTTACCAGGAAAAAATGGAGATTCAAGCCACAAGATCATGATTTTGCCGGCAACAATGGTGATAGTCATTTGAAAATGGTGGTAAGTATCAAACTTGGGGGTTTAGTCTACCAAAGTGGTGTCTTGTCCAACAAAATTGGGGCTTGCCCTCTGGTAAATCAACAAAATGATATGGAAAATTAGAAATATTCAGGTACAAGAGTGATCGACTTTTTCACGGTGGGTTTGTGATATCTGTATCAATTTACTTGAGGGTATATAAGTTTGGAGTGGAAGATGTGGTCTCTAACCCATCTTTTGGTGTAGAGATATAGCTGAAACATCTTTGTATTTGTATGAACTACATGCCCCCGAGCAAACAAACCACATGTGTAGATAGCAATGAAAAAGATAAGAATGACAGATCAATCTAGCCTTCACCGACCTCAAATTCTATCCTCTGGCAATTCAACATTTGTCTTCATTGGCCATCTCTAGGAAACTGAAAGATGGTCTAAATTTACAAGTGCATTTTGATCAGATAATTATATGGTAAAAAAAAGGCTGGCAAATGTTATTTATCAATCTATTACTGCAGTTAAAAAAAAAATAGAAAAATCCCAGCAGTAAAAAAAAATAGAAAAGTCCCAGAGGTTAACATCCCAGTTGCCCAGAAAATTTCGCACCGCCTCTCTGGCACCAGCATTGCCACTGGACCCACTTCGTGAATGATGGGGGACAGGACCGCCTCACGCCCTCGCAACGCGTGGCGAAAGGATGACGCATAAATCGAGTGGATTTTTCTGGGAGTTCCACCGGTAACTGCACTAAATCCCATAATCATTGGATTGGTTTAAGGGAAAATTTACAGGAAACCATTGTTTTTACCATCAAATATAGGGGTTTCCTGCAAGAGACCTGGCATGGATCATGTCACAAAGAATACATCCGAAACTGACGAAGTGCTGCTTCCTGCAGATGAAAATTCTAATGGTATCGATAAGTGTGTTTAGAAAACAGTTGAAACTCCTGATGCAAAGATATCTTAAACTCACCCACATGCAGAAACCAAACAGTCCAAAGCGAATTGACAACACACACTTGCAGCAAGCAAAGCCAAAAGGGTTTTGCAATCAATTTCTGACAGGCTGAAAGTTCCTCTCTGCTACCATCGGTCTGACCGTGCATTCAGTTGTGATTGTCAGACTGAAGCAACCCACAAACAACGATATCAAACATCCTCACTTAATTTAATTAGTTTGTTATTTGTTGATTGTAATTGCGTCATACATTAATATTAATTATACACTCACTCACTGACTCACGGTCAGTCAGTGAGCCCTATCAGTGGCACCAGTGCAGTGTCAATTAAACATGACCAGGCTTTCTGACTGATTGACTTGCAGACTCGTCAACTCGTCTGAGAAACTAATGATGTCAGTCGCTGGTCAGACAGGGACATGACAAGAGTCAGACGATGACGACTGACTGGTCTGACTGTGACTTTAAAAATATATAATATATAATAATAATTATTAATTAATATCAACAAAAATAAAAATGTTTGACTGACTGAAATTTCTGGTCATTGTGAACAAACAATTTGTTTTCCCAGTAATTTTTGTTTTTGGCTTCAGCTCATCATCATCACCAGTCAGACCTCTACGACCAGCGGCGGTCACGCCAGTCACGGTCATGCCAGTCACGGTCATGCCAGTCACGATCCCACCGGTCGCCGTCACGGTCCCGCCAGTTGCCGTCGCGACGCCAGTCGCGGTCCCACCAGTCGCGGTCCCACCGGGAGTTGTGCCAGTCATGCCAGCCGCACCTATGGCCATCGTTGCTCTCGTCATCCTCGTCGGACGAGCTGTGGTCACGTGGTGGGGTCAGCTGAGATGAGGTGAGAAGAGCTCACATGATTTGAGATGAGATGAAGTGTGGAGTGTGAAGTGCAAGCGTGAAGTGTGAAGTGCGGGGTGTGAAGAGTGCAGTGTGAAGTGTGAAGAACGTCTTCGCTTGGCGTTGCATCGCACCGGGGTCGTGCGCAGGTCATGTTCTTGGACAACAACACCGCAACAGCTTCGCACAAAGCACGCACGCACTGGCTTCATTGGTGTACCTGGTATTTGCGAAATATGCAGAATATACGATCACCGGAGGCATGCCAAATCGAATCCATTGATTGCCAGTATCCTCTGATGCAAGCAACTGGGGTCCCGCATCTCGTGTGTCCCTGAAAGGAGGTGGCACTTTAGCTGTGATCACTTTCTCATATGTCTCTTTGAGAATCGTCTGAGCAATTGTGATTCTTTTGCTTGAGAATTGTCCTAAAGACTTCAAATCAACACCTTCAGTCATTGTGATTCTCAGTGGTTCGTTTGATGTCGACAAATAACAATGTGACAGTGCCCCAATCAACTCCAACAAGTGTACGGACCGTTGGTCGCGGAACAACAAATTGTCGTTGAATCCAGAAAGCAGATACCACAGAGATGCCGAAGACCACGAAGATCTCGTCAAAGGCGATGTTGATCTCGAAAAGTACCAGTGCAGAAGAGAGCGCTCGAACGAAAGGTCGATGGAGTCGGGCCCTCGTACAACACAGGCAGTTGCCGTCACCAGCTTGATAGGGTGACTGCGGACATTTTCTGAATCACGAGACACTTCACTCAACCAATCTTCATCAGGCGTGATGATTTTCCACTGTTTTCTTACTTTGACGTTCACAAATGGACTAATTTTTGATCACATGTTCATTGATACCTTTCATGATGATTTTGGCAATCCATTTGGTGTAAACTTGAGTAATGCGAGTTTCCCTACCGGCACATTCTGCATGGTCATGACGGCGATCACACTTCCTACGTAGTTTTGGAAACGATACCCCCCACGTGACAATCTTCCAAGGTTTCTTGATTGGTTTGGGAGTTTCTTGGAATTGCGATTTCAAGCCATACATGCATCCATCGAATTTGTGCTCATGAGATACAGTTCCTTCCACGAGATCAGTCATCCTACGGTCTTTCCAGTAATCACAACCTCTAGGCAGTTCGAGCAAGGCTGGCGATCCCATGTTGATGAGCTCACTTAGCACTGACGTAAACACTTCCCACATGGCCCAGAAGATCTGCTTCTTTGCTTCAATGAGTTGTGTCGTTGCTTCACTGACCCATCGATTGATTCGGTTCCAAGGTGAACCCCCTGTACACGGACCTGCAAAGAACACTGAATCGAGTTTGGTCCTCAGGCAACGTCTTGCTTTGCATATTCCATATGGCGAGAGCATGTCATCATCTTCAGTGATGGGGACGACATGAAACTTCATTTCATCTTGCATCTTGTTCTGCAAAAATGTAAACCAATTTCTCTCTTCGGAACATAACAGGACGAAGCATGGGACATCTCGAGGAACTTCAATCAGATTGATTGCAAGGGAAAACTTGGCAAACTTGGATGTCATCAAGTCACAAGGTGATTTGGACAACTGAAATTCTACAGTTCTATTCCTTCGATCTCTCCACAGGATTACCGACACTTTGGGATGGTCAACCTCATGTTTGCCTACTTCAATGTGATATTGATAGGGGACAAAAACGTCAGTGATAGGGATGGTGTTCAGCTCACTGCAATGGGTGCAGAGTGTGATGACCCCCTGATTCACTTTATAGCTCTTATCACTATCGATCACTTCGGCATTGGCGAGCACCTTGAATGTCGTTCCTGTCCAGAATTCATTCAGTTTGTTTGTTGTTTCATTGTTGTCACCTTTGAACCTCCACATGTCTTTGATCACTCGAGTGTTCGTCTTGAACTTCTGCTCAGTTTCCCTTTCATCACATATGATCCTGTGGTCACAAGGACAGTCTTCGCAATCCTGTGGCACGAAATTCTGCCGTCTAGGCGTTTTGTGAATTCGGATCAATGTCTCCTCCCCTTCCCACTGCCAATAGTCTTCATTTTTCTTACTAAGTCCTTGGGATCTTCGAGTGGGGCTAACATGAGGAATATTATCGCTAATTTCCGGATGTTTTTGACATGCACCAGTTGAATGCGAATGCCACCCCTCACTCCCCCCATGAACAAGGCGCATAAGCGTGTTGATCACACGTGTGGCTGGTTGAAGGCACTGGTGTATGGGTTTCGGGCGTTGAGACGGTGATGTCTGTGCGTCTAAAAACAATGCATCAACCGAAAACATCAGCATAGGTGAGTCGGCCGGATGCTGCACACGACTATTGCGTGTGGACACACCTGAGTCCCGGTGGGATCTCGAGTGGGCAGTCTGGGCGTGTGCGTACGTTGACGACGACACCCGTTGGGTTGAAGTCGTTGATGTGGACTGTGAAACAGTGTCTGGAATCAACGGCTGCTTGTTGGGCGAATGATATTGGAAACATGCGCGCTCAACCCATTTGTCAAATCGGACTGCCTGTTCTGGTGGAGATGCACGGTGTTCGACCTTTGTCCATGTGCCATTGAGAAGAATCCATGTGGATCTTAACACGTCTGGCGGTACCAGCAAGCCAGGTGGCTTGGGGCGATAAAACACCGGCTGCTTGACAACAAAGATTGGATCCATACCAGGCAAATATTGAAGCTTTTCTTTACTGGTCAACCCTTTTCTATACACTTCTTTTGGTAGAATAGGGGTTTCGGTGTATGGGAAATTAGGGATATCCTCAGTTTTGGATTGAAAGACTTGGCGAGTAGTCATGTCGACATCGGTGCTGGGTTGCAACATGTCTAACACTTCTTTACTCTGCAAGTCCTGAGGTTCCAGTAGGTTGATCAGCATACATGCTTTCTTCCATGCCATTGGATTCCTGAACCCTTTAGTATGGATATCAGCTGCCATTTTGGCTGTAATTTCATAGATCAATACAAAATGATCCTTTTGGAAATGTTCATGCATGGAGGCAATGGAAATACCATGTGTGCGCTCCAGATGACGCATGGTTGGGTTGCGTCCTGATCTGACAACACCAATCATACCTTGATTATCGTCATGAAACAGGAGCTGGGGAAAAACTTTGGCTAAGACTTTCCACAGACTTAATGCGGGGATTCCCAAAGTCCTAAGTGCAGTATCAGCGGCCACTATTTCAGCTTCGGGGGTTGAATGACTAACACACCCTTGTCGCTTACTTCCACCAGCAAGTGGGAACCTTGTGAACTTACCTTGGACTTGTAAGTGCGATCCTGATGTTGATCTTAAGGATTGAGCACATCCGGCGAAATCCGCATCTGCAAAGAGTCCTAACGACAAATCTTCAATTTTGTCACCGACCCATCCTATCATTTTAAGGGACAATGTGGAATTAACATAACACATTAAGTGATGAAGACGGGCGTCATCATCCTTAGTCCATTTGGTCACATTGCGTGCCAATGCGTTGATGGATCTTAAAAGGTCAAACCGCGCAATGCGGGCTGCATACAACAGCTTCATAAGCACACTAGCTGCATGCGGAGCTAGGTTTCCCCGATTCGGCATCTCACTGTCTTGGCCAGGACGTGAGTTGACGGTCTCGTTGAGAGCCGACATCTCCGGATCGAAAGAATGTGCACACCACGGACACTCGACTTTGCGCTTTCCATCGGAAGGAGCTCGGTATGGGCTGCATTTTGTTTCCTCTGGAAGCCTTGGAGTCGAAACCTTTTTCAATTTAGTGTCCTTACCAATTATGTCAAGATACTTTTCTACCGATAACTTTAACAATCCTTCCATGTTATAAGTTATGGTCTTGACTTTCTTTCCATTATGGAGTTGAGTCTCGCCTTGGGAAAGCACACATCCAAGATAAAGACCCAAATCAGTTTCGGGTTCGATGCGTAAAACCGTACGCAACATCTCCCAACCTTTGGCCAAATTTTCAGATGGTCCAGCTAGTTTGAGGTCATCCACATAGATCACCAATAAAAGCTTGAGCTCATCATGAAAATACATTGATGGCCATTCCTCTCCAATGGGTTTAAAACCGATTTCTTGGACCTTCTTATCACAATGTTGTTCCCACATCGTGCCTGAATCGGGATGTCCATATAGAGCTTTGTCAAGTCTTACGACAGGGCGTCGATACTTCCAGTATTGAATCTCGGGTGGCCAAGCGTCGGTAGGTAACTCCACCCAGCATAACGGCCCCTTCAACTTCGCCTGGATGTAGGCTTGGATCGCATCTGCGAGCTTGACAGAGTGCCCAGGGAGACATCCAAAGAAATCGGCCCACCGTGAGGCTTCGAAGGAAGCAGGGGAATTCCCTAAATCTTGAAAGAATGCTGCCTCCCAATGTTGGTTCTTCACTTGATTGCCCAGTAGAACACCTCGTCCCTTGAACTTTCGACCTGGATTGCTTTCAGGCAATTGATAGTTCTTTTCAACGCAAATGCCATGAACCCTAGCCATATGTATTTCCTTCTTGTTCTTCTTTGCTTCCGCAACTACATCATCGTATTCCCGGACCATGGAGAAATCAAACACTTCTTGATCTCGGAGTCCTTTCCATTCCTTAAGCATTGCTTCCTTTGCTTTAGGATTGGATTCAATCTCTGCTCTGCCGACTGGTCTTGAGACCATGGCGTTGAAGAGCTTCCCTCCCAGACCTCCAGGAGGTACTTTGGTTCGATGAATGTTGTTGGGTGCGGAGGTACATGGCATAGTAGGGAATGCTATGAGATCGTCGTCATCGTCAGTGGTTAAGTTCTTCATGTTCTTGACGCTGACACACTTGCCATTCCTGATTATGGTCGATTCACCCGGCGTTGCCGTGGAAGACCCCGAGATCATACCGGACAAAGTGTTCCAAACTTCACCACTCCACGATGCTTTCGGACCACGGCCCTTCTCGACCTCCGACCATGCGTCCCATTCGGTGAGATATTCCTCGTCGTCCGGGACGTCAGTAGAAGCATCGGAACATGGGCTCGCATCAGCATTCCTTCTGATCTTCCGACAATCAATGTAACGTTTCCCATGAATGTCATCGTCATCAACGATGTCGTACATGTCAATATATGCACTCGAACATGTGAAAGGTAAAGTAACTTTGTTCTTCATCACCTCACCAACACCTGCATCGGATTTCTTCGACTTTGAGTGCGGATCGTCCTGCCCACCATCATCGTCTTTCTCGTCATCATCTTTGGACTTCGGCATGCCTTTGTCCTTCCTTGAATCTTTCTTCTCCTTCTTCAGTGATTTCTTCTTCACTTCCTCAACCTTTCTTTTGTTCTTTTCGTCAGCCTCCTTCTTTTCCAACTTCTTCTTCTCGGCCTTGAGGATGACGTTTCGGTCAGATTGAGATAGCTTTCGCCATTCTTCTGGAGAGTAGGTACCCTTAGGTCTCAATGAGGTTTTGAAGAGTCTCCTACCATCTTCTCCAATCTTGTATGGGTTTCCCTTGACATTCAATTTGACCTTCTCGCCGTCATCATTGAGGTATACCTTCCCGTCCCCGGCTTTGCCTGACCTCCAGTGATCTGGTTGTGCGTCTATAAGTTCTTCTAAGGTCATCTCTTCCGGGTCCTTGTCGTCGAAGATATCCTCAGAGGCTTCGAGAGGTTTCTTTGAGGCCCTTCCACCACTTGGTCCAGGTCCACCATCGTCTCCGTCATCAAGTTCATCATCGTCTTCATCTTGTTCGTCTTCTTCATCGTCTCGAGGTTTCTTGGATGGTTCACCGTCAAGAAGTTCTCTTTCTTTCATTCCCTCCAAAGTCGTATTCACTCTTTCGTACTCTTGTTTACATGGGAATGTCAATGGAGTGACCATCTCTACTTTCTCGGTCAGATGAGGTTTGAGAAGACGATATTCTGGTTTGCTGGCATCATCACCAAGGTTCTGATGTACAAACTCGCTCAATGGCCAGACTTTGTATTGTCGAGACCAATGCATCCCTGGGCCAATGTGATATCCCGCGAAAACTCCTGGTATAGAATCAGGTCCAAACTTATGAAGTTGTCCTGCTTCTCTCGTCTTCGGGGGCTTGTAGTTCACACGAGCACCATAGGGAATGAGTTTTCCAGCAAAGTCGGTCCCATGGAGTTTACACCAAGCACTGAGTTCATCATCATTGGGCTCCACATTGAGTAGATGGCATACACAAAGGATTGCCGTTCTCCAGAAACATGGTGGTAATCCGGCCTCTAGCAGACATGTAGATGTTGCAGTCAGAATAAATTGATTCGTTCTTTCGGCAATGGAATTTGTCTGAGGTCTTCCAGGTAGTGAATGATCAATTGGAATCTTCATCTCATTCATCGCTTCAATGAATTGTGGGGCATGATCGGAATATGCCTGTCTGACCTTATTGGCGCCTATGAACTGTTTCACGGCTCTGACTACATCATCTTTGGCCATTCTGTCGGACGGATAGGCACCGATGATTCCTGTAAAACAGTCTCTGACGACTAACACTTCCTTCTCAAGTACTAATACATCATCATGAACTTTGGATGTATCAACAGCATCGAAAGTGATGAGGTCGCCGAACTTCTTGAGTTCCCTTCTGTATGATCCTCTACGAGTCTTGAAGTGTTTCATCTTTGCGCGAATGCTGGAATCACAGTATGGATTCTTGTATCTGTGAGTCAACTTGTGGTTCAGACTGTTTGCTTCCCTCTTAAGTGTTCCTCTCTTGGCTACCCTGGACTCACCTTCAACAACATCGACTTCGATGTCATCTTCGTCACCTTCAGCGACTTCTTCAGGGACTCCATGTCCTTCCTCCTCTAGGTCGGTTTCTTCGCCTCCTGGAGGACCATCATATGGAGTTCCAGGCGGGTATCCTTCATCATCAGATGGGATCTCTTCTCCAGGTGATGCTGTCTTTCTTCGTCGGCTCCCTGCCTTCCTTTTCTTCTTCACCTTAAGCTTCTTGACGTGTTGGGAATCACCTTGATCATCAACTGATACCTCAAACCCACTTTCTCCATCCAGATAAACCCTTCGGGATGTCCGGCCTATCTCATCTAGGTCATCGAAGTTGTCGATGCACTCTTGAAAACGTTCAAGTAGATCATGAATCTTCGATGTTTGATGACATTCATATGGAGTACATTCGTATGTTCCAAGATCAACGTAGGGGATGTTGTCATGAATTGTCAGATCAATACGTTCCCCGTTCTTTGTGATCATGAATGGCATCTTACCTGAAGGCCACACGAAGGAGTATCCTTCTTCCATGCATCGTTTCCCAAGAGACATCACCGATGGAGTGTCATCAAGGACGTAGGCTTGTGAGATCTCGTCAAAGGTTCCCAAGTCAATTTCAGCTTCTGTTTGGGTGGCAGTTGAACCGTTCGCAGTGTGGAACATGATGGGATCACAAACTCTTTTCTTCAAATTCATTCTTTCAGCTTTTCGTGCAGAAATCAGGTCATGTCCGCTACCAGAGTCGAGAATGAATCTTCGATCTTTGGCTTGTACTGGTAGTGAAATGCACATGAGATTCTTGGACTTCTCGAGGGATCTTTCAGCTTCATGTTCAACAAGCTCCTCCGAGAAAATCAGATCCTCTTTGTCACCATCCAACTTGATCAGCATGTCGAATTTCGGGCCAATGATAATCCTCACTTCATCCACATAACGATGAAGTCCATCTTTCTCCATGATGATAGCTTTAGCTCTTGCCCGAGTTTGACCGAGTGTGCTGTCAGACTTGGATTGATCATCAGTCAGATCTTCGATCTTTCTGAAAACATAGGGCTTGTTGGGATCGCGATAAATTCGTTTGGGCATTCCCTCCGGATAGTCCTTGATATGAATCTTGTAGATCTCAGGTTCCAGGTCGAATGTGATTTTGCGAACATCAGAAGACTTCTTTGCGCTGGCTACCCTCGGCGAGGAATAATCCGTTGCATCTTCAGTGTCGCTATCGAAGAAGGAATCAATAGTGATGGGAACCGCTTTCTTTTTCTTGTCCTTGTTGCTGGCTCTTTCGGAGGATGCTGACGGTGACTGGTCTGCATGTAGAAATTTGCAATTGGTTCCAAAAGTACATGTACCCTTTTGCCACTGCCAACATACCTTCTTCTTCGGTCCAGCTGATGAAGAACTTCCCTTACTCTTCCTTCCAGATGAATCTCTGCTTCGACTTCTACCTTTCTTATCCTTCATCTTGGCATCATAGACTTTCTGAGAATGACTGTAGAGACACTTGTCACCTTTGTTACATCCACCTTTATTGAAAAAGTAATTGCAGAAGATCTTCTTCTTGTCAGTGGGTGATGATGATCTTCCCTTCCCACCTTTGCCCTTGCCTTTCTTGTTCTTGTCGGCATGAGACTTCGGAGAAGGCGTAGGAAGAACAGAAGCGGCTTCACTCTTTGCCTTAGCCTTCGGCTTCCCTTTAGGAGGGTCACCGGCAGATGAAGCGGCTGCAGCGTCTTCCTTCTTCGTCTTGGTGGGGGCAGCAGCTTTCACGTCATCTTCCAAGGCTGGTGTAGTTTTGTTGGATGATAACGATATCTTAACTGCACGTTCCCTGTCTTTCAACAGTCTTTCTTGTTTCCCTCTGGCAATGTATCCTTTGATCATATTGATTAGGAAGTCATAAGTCTTTTCAGGATGCCCTTCGTCGAAGGTACGGTATCGGCTGATATCAAAATGCATGAGCTTTGAGTGTTCAATCTTCCGGAACAATGTGTCACGCAGGGAATTCATAGAAGGCCGATCACCATGTTTCATGTTGTATATGATATCAAGCCACTTGTTGTAGAAGGCCTCGAGTTGGTCATCTCCATAGTAGCTGAACATGTACAAATGATGAGCGTTGTAGAGAACTTCAGTATGGTCAGGTGACTTGAAGCTAATCAAGATCATTGCGAATAGTTCTCGTCCCTTGATGAAGTCTCCACTCTTCCCATACATTTGGTTCTTCATGGACATGTCATACTTCACTTGCATAGACTTGTCCCCAGCATTGTCGATGACCTTCCTCAAAGCATTGGAGAGCTTAGCATCAATGGATTGGAATCTTACCTCAGGTGCTTTGGCTAATGTTTCCAAGTCCGGCTGATCTGTGAGACATGGAGCTAGCCACGCTTTCCAATCTTCATAATGTCTATCTCCACTTGCAACACAAACTTCATGAACGACACTTCCCTTCCAGGATGAAAGTTCAGTGGTCTTAGGCCAAGGTTGTAGATTGATCTTCTCCGCTTCTCTCTGAGAGATAGAAGATTTGGACTCGTCTTTCTCAAGATTCTCCAGTTCGATGACGTTGGTATTGTACTCGTTCCTGAGTTTCTCAAAAGCTTCGGCTTCGGCACGAAATTCTTGCTCTTCGTCGTTAGCACGATCTTCAGCTTGGGAAAAGTTATTCTTGTAGTAGTCCTTACGCTCTTCCATCTTCTTCAGTTCATCACGAAGAGCATTAACTTCTGACTTCTTCTCTTGTTTCATCTCTTCCAGCTCAGCTTTCAATTTGGCACACTTCTCCTCACATTCGTTCCTGGGAAAAGCATTGTTGGATGATCCATACATTATAGCTTGCAGGTTCTGTGCAGAAGAAGAAGCGGCCTGGTTCTCGAGCTTCAGTGCAGCGATGGTGTTCGACATTTCCTCCACTTCTGTTTGACGTTCACTGACAAGATGGTGCATTTCTGTCAGGTGACTTTCAGGAATCGAATAGTCTGTTGCTCCCTTGATGATGAGTCGTCTATCATTCAGCATACTGATAGCTTTACCGGCATCACGATGAGCACGACTGAGGGATTCCTCCTGTGTCGCAACTTCAGTGTTAAGTCGATTGATTGCCTCATCTCTGTCACTGATCTCATTTTGCAAAGCGTCAAATAGGTTACTGGAAGTGTTTGGATTGTTGCTCATGAAGTCGATCCTTCCCAAAGCATCTTGGTACTTCTTTCCCAATGAGTCATATGAGCTTTGATAGGTCTTGAGCAGCGCCTCATTGTCGATAAGCTCAGCTCTAGTCCTCCGCAGCATAGCGTCAACGTCATCCTTGGATTTGATGGCCTTCTCGTACTCACCATGCAATTGATTATACATCTCATAGTAAATCCCATGTGATGGAGAAACACTTGGAGATGCATGTCTTGCTTGTTGGCACGAAAGTTCATGATACTGATTCTTCGATTCAGTCAGTTGTTGTTGCATCCGATCCAAAAGGCTTTGTTTCATGTGTAGTTCAGATCGTAGTTCCATGATCCTCATATCACGCATCCCGCTCACCTTAGAGGTCAACTCTTCAGAATACCGACTTTCCGATGTGGCCAGTTGTGACTGTAGCCCTTCATTGCGGATGACCTGTAACTGAAGTTGTGATTCCTCCAGAGCTAGATGGTGTTCACATTCAGAATATCTGTTGTGTTCGGATCTTAGATCACTACGCAATTCTCTCATGATATCTTCCCTCTTTGCGTCAGCAGAATCAAGCTCCGTTTCCAACCGTCTGATGTTCAATGACATAGTGCTCTTCATCGTTTGGTTCTGATTTGCGATCTCGAGCATTTCAATGTGAAGTGCGCACGTTTGGTCATTGGCATATCCGGCAGCTAGGGCTTCCTGCTTCGCGTTCATCTCTGCGTTTTCCAGTTCCAGTCTGAGTTGATTGATGTGAGCATTTGCATCTGTACCCACGTGTACCATGATTGCATTCGCTTGTCCCATTTGTTCACTGAATTCAGATCTCAATTGTGAGTATCGGAATTCCAGATGGGATGCTGCTTCATTTGACATAATTCGATACCTCTCCAGTTCTTCAATCCTGTAAGTTGCTCCTTCGTCTTCTTGTTGTGCGGCGAGCAGCTCAGAATTCAGGGCTTGAAGTTGTTGAGCCATCGATGTCATCTCATGATGGGTGGTGTTCTCAAGGTAGTTGAATTGTTGGTTGGCATATGCGGCCATTTCGGTTAATCTCGCCTGAAGCACAGATTCCTCTTCAGTAGCCCTGTCCAGTGATGCTTTGTACTCTGAAAGTTCACTTTGATAGGCAGTGAATACATCGCTACCACTTGATGGAGCATTCACTTGTTGAAAAGATCCTACTCCTGATGGTGTAGCATCCTGAATCGGTGAAGGCGGATTCGAAGATGTAGTCTTCGCCTTAGTCCTCGGAGTCATCGGAAGCGATGATTGTCGTGCGGACGATCTCCTCTTTCCAGGTGTATTGTCCCTGTCTTCGATTGCTTGCATTGTCGGCATTAATCTCCCTCTCGGGGCAACCAGAGGTCGTCTGGATGTGCTAGGTCTCAGTTCTGAGGTTTCGCTTCCACCAGTATCGAAACTCTGTGAAGAATTTGACTGCGTGCCGGCAGCTGGTGCAGCGGCATGTCCAGCAAATGAGAATGCGTTATCGCTACTGTCCTCTTCAGCCGTTGATTGCAAGGTCCGCAGTTACCCGCTCGCAGGCTCCGTGGGAGACCTACGGCTGATAACCTGTGAATCGGACATTTCCTAGTATATGTCCGTGTTTAGGTTGTTGAGCGATCTGTTTCGCGTTTCTCAATGGTCAACCGGAGGCAATCGGCGATATGGCTTTCCTTTTACCGGAGCTGTGCAGTATGGGATCTTGAGCCAAAAGGACCATCGGTATTGCGGTCCCCTGGCATGCGAAAAGATGGCTATATACATGGGGGTTAAGTACTGCATTCTTACTGTACCCCCATTCGCAATTATATATATTATGTATTATATATATGTATGTATATTATATTATATTATATTATATATATTATATATATTATATATAATATATATAATATAATATATATATATTATATATATTATATATTATATATAATATATATATAATATATATTATATATATTATATTATATATATATTATATATTATATTATATATATATTATATATATTATATATTATATATGTATGTATATTATATTATATTATATTATATTATATTATATTATATTATATTATATTATATATATTATATATATTATATATTATATATTATATATTATATATTATATATTATATATATTATATATATTATATATATTATATATTATATATATTATATATATTATATATATTATATATATTATATTATATATATATTATATATATTATATATATTATATATATTATATATATTATATATATTATATATTATATATATATTATATATATATATATTATATATGTATGTATATTATATTATATATATATTATAAAATATATATATATAATATATATATAATATAATATATATATAATATATAATATATATAATATATATATAATATATATAATATATATAATATATAATATATATAATATATATAATATATAATATGTATAATATATATATATTATATATTTATATTATATATATAATATAAATATAATATATATATATATTATATATTATATATTATATATATTATATATTATATATATTATATATATTATATATTATATATATGTATGTATATTATATTATATATATATATTATACATATATCATACATATATTATACATATAATAGATCCGATTCAAGATTAAATCCTGTGAAATCCCCTTGATATTCCAGCTGCCACCGGTTGCTGCCAGCGGTGCACCACTTCGGCCGGGCATTATGATCAGCAGCAGCTCTGACGACTTGGCATCCAAGTCCTGGCGAATTGCATCAGAAATGGTGACAAAATGGGGAGTGTACCATGAAACATTGGGATTTATAGTTGATTTACTGTATATATATATATGTGTTGATTTATATTTGGAAAGTTGTTACATAAGTACGGAAACTGTTGGATTTATGGTGGACATATCTGTAGCCAGATGGAGTTGTCGACAAAATGGGCTGCATCCGAGGAATCGTAAGTGGTTGCCAAGCCATACATTACTGTGGTATATCCGCTTTGTGAGTAGGTTAAAATGTTGCTCTTACCTACCAACTACAGTTTTTGTGGGATACACATCAAAGTAATCAACCAGCAAGATTGAAAAATCTGAGGATTCTCTGGGGATATCACCTACAAAATCCAGCAACTTGGGAAGTATTGTTAAGAAATTGTGTTTTTCTATATGATTTCCCTGGCCAAAAAAATGTAAAACAAACTGCATGGGGACTTCACGAAGAAAAAATGTCGAGAATCAAATGATAGGCTATATCATGATCAATTGCGGGGAAGAATCGACAACAATAAGGACATTAACCTAGCAAAAAATGAAGCCAAAGACAGTTGGTGTACTTGATGAGACCCAAAAAACGTGCCGCAGGGAGTGCCAACCATCTCGGGTTGAGGAGGACCCAATTTTGGTTCCAGGGAAATGAATCTCTCTCGGATGTTGCCAGAATGGTCATGTTGGGATCTGAATAGCAACCGGATCTAGAGATTTTTGATGATTTAGCATTGATCCATACACAATCATACACATATATTGTGTCCCATTTTGAAGATGACACGTCCCGGTTTGAAAAATCTTTAGAGAAACGAAACACCAAAGGCCAAAGCCTGCAGGAAAGAAACCCATTTTCAATGCCAAGCTGATAGTGCTACGTCACTGGTGATAAAGGAAAACCAGGTTTGTTGAAAAGAGAAGCCGCAAATCCATGCTCGAGCAGTGGATTTGCCATAAAACAGGTGTGCCACGGCTGTGGAAAAAGTGCAGCACAGAGAATGTGGAACAAATTTGTGGGAATGGATCAAAACTAAGGTCCGTGGGACCACAGATTTTGGCAGTTTTTTTTGAAATAGACTATGCGATTTCTGGTGGACCGAATTTTGACCCATACCCATGTGTCGCACAATTGTAATCTGGCCCTGCAAAAGCTGGACGAAAAGGGATGAAAAGACCATTAGCGGAAGCCAAGGGATTCCAAAAGAAAGGGAAATGTGGGACAGGTTCTTCAACCAATCCGCACATCTGACGCTTCTTGGTCATGAGATTCTTGAATGCTTGCCGATTCACCTTCACGTCTTTCAAGAACTCATCAAGGTACCCTCTGGTAAACGTTTACATAACTATGGAAAATCACCATGCTATCAATGGGTAAATCCACTATTTCTATGGCCATGTTCAATAGCAAACTGTTAGTCATTACCAGAGGGTAAGCCTTGAACTCTTCATGTCGCGTTCAACGGTTCGACGCGTCGAATCTCCTGTTTTTTCGTCCAGGAATGTTACGCCAAAAATCACTGCGGGAGACACTGGGCAAACACTGGGCAACAAAGGTCGGAAAAAGTTGAGGTGGTAAGGCTGGGTATAATATATATATATAGCTTATATATATATATATACATATATATATATGGTTGGAAAATGTGGGCAAACTGTTTGGCAATGGTTCCATTGGAACAAGGAGGGCTCAAGAAAAGATATGGGATGGTCAAACACCCTGCATTTGAGACGATTGTCCCTCGGTGGTTGGGAGTGTTGCCTTGGGTCTGTCAATCCTTAATCATGTTGGAAAAGCAATAGTAAACCATACCCCAATTTACCATAAATGGGTGGTATAAATTATCAAAATATGGGTGGTTGAGTATTGCTTTACTAAGATTAGTGGGGTTGACTTTCAACCATTCCAGCAACTCGCAATCGTCTCCTGGCATTGGCCATTCTCCATGGCCCAAAAACGACCAGGTCTTGGCAGAAGCGTACGACTTCAACTGAAGTTGTTTTGGAAGTTTTGGAATCTCCAACCAATCCAAGCCCAAAAGTTTCACCGGGGTCTACATGGTCTACATGTACATGATTTACCTGGTGTAATAGTCTCTAACTAACTGCTGTGATCGGAGGTTCCAACTTTTTTGCTTCTCAATTCTTTTCATACGTGGTGTTGCTGACTTTGGTGTCGAGTAGGACAGCACATGAATATCAATGGTGTTGTCACTCCTAGAGGGAGGCGATGGTAGAGTGATCTGTCTCAAGTTGAAGTATAGAAAAGGCTTCCCAGGTATGCAAACAAGAAAATGCATGTTTTCAGGGGGTTCTCGAAGTTCTAGGTCTGCAAGTTTGCTCAAAGTGAACGATCTCCCGATCTCATCGAATTTCTCTGATCTCATGTGGCGCTTCTTCACCAACTCTATCTCTGCCGTGCGCAAGCTACTCTTGAGCCAATGGCTTCTGATAGCACCAGAATGGTGCCGAGGCCCCTCAATGGATCGATTTTGTTGGGATGTTTTCTTGGCCCTTCAAATGTATAGGGCTAAACCAAACCCTGTAAACATTCTGTTGCTTTCTCTTGGAAGTTTCCTGTGATGTTTCATCACCGTGGGGTCTTTCCATTTCTCCACGACTCCACATTTCTTCCGTCTGCATCCTAATGTGGTAAACCCAGTTACAAAGCTCGAAGTTTTGAGAGATTATTTATATAATATTGTATAGCCCATTCCTGCTGAAATTGGGATAATAGACTCCATCTGTCTATCCTACCGTTTTCGGCCATAGTCCTGCCAGTGGTCATCCGATAATATCGGGAATGCAGGTAGATAATGCAGATGCTTACTATTGTGCATCGAATGACAGGCAAGAAAACTACACAAATGATACACACTAGCTATATGTGCGGTTTTAAAAAAATCCGAATATCAATCACTGGCATTCTGATCGTGAAAGCTTCAGCCAGCAGGGATAGGCGCCAGGCGCCTTTGGCGAACGGGGTTATGGTGCCCACATGGATTGAAACATGTACCCTCTGGTAAACTAACATGGCTGTGGAAAATCACTATTTTCAATAAGATCTTCATACAGACGCAGATGCTGGTGTAAAAATGCTTTAGATGATTTCTGAATATTCCACTAGACATGTAATCATAAATGTTCTGACCCGAACAAAATGTGGTCTTATATCCCATTTATGGGGGGTACCCAAATCATCCATTTCTAGATAGATTGTCCATATTGATTTTGTTGGGAAAATCTTAACCGGAAACCATGGTTTTTTTTACCACGAAGATCATGGGGGTGTCCGGGTAAAAATTTTCCCCTAAACCAATCCAATGAATCCAGCTATTCGGATACCCCCCATGACGAAAGCCCCCATTTTTTGTTGCTTTTCGTCGCGGGGCCACCAGGTCTTTGGCCCAGGCGGCCTGGCTGAGTCTGGAGCCAAAATATGAGGAATCAAAGGTGAAGAAATCGGATGAATAGGAGAAATCATAGGAGAAATCTTGGTAAAACATAGGATGAAAACCATTTTTTGGGATGACTTTAGGATTTCCGGGGATGATTGTGGGATAAATCATGCCATAAATCGGAGGTAAACATACATCGGTCAAAGGCACAGGCTATGGAACATCTGAATCTTCTCCAATTGGAGAAATTGTTTTTAAAAAAATACACAAATGAAATAGGATGAAAACTTCAGGTATTAACTTGGAGTTTCAATGGATTTTCCCAGCTAAGCTGTGCCGATTTCAATGGCAGTCAACCCCTGCACACCTCTTCGGGAGTGATGAAAGACATGCACCCCACCTGGAGGGATTCCAGGCGGAATCACGAAAACGAAGCATGGCTAAAAGCAGTGAACTTGGAGATACACGCAAGAAACTTCAAGAAACTTCCGAAATATGTGTGTGTACATTATATATATATATATTATGTATATATATATATATTATTATATATATAGCAAGTAGAAATCCAGATAGAATGACCCATCACCACATTCTGGCCATATAAAATCGAAAAAATCTTGGTATGTTTGACCCAACAAGACATGCCTCCAGATCTCCCAGCTGCAGTGCTCCGTAGCTCACACGGTGCAGCTCCAACCTGGTTTTTTTGAGGTCAGGTGGTCGATTTTTCAGCGCCGGTTTCAAGGAAAAATCTACAGAACATAAACTAATGGTAGAGGCATGGGAGAAGGATTCAGGAAAACCAGGTACATGGAAACTTTCAGTATGGAAGATTCCTGCAATTGTTCCCAAAAAATCGAATGCACGGACACAAATTGTTCGAAACGACCAATGGAATGAAAAATTGACTACTGAACAAAACTTGTCTTAAACTCCATACAAGTGTTTCATTCTCATGTTCCAAATGATGTACCACATCTGATGCATTCATAAACTCATGAATCCAAAAGTTTGTTTCGGACATCCTGATTTATACCTCTGGAAAGAACAAAACCATTGTTTCCCTTCAAACATATGTTAAGTTGAATAACAAAGAACTTAAAACTGCCTGTAATTGACTGTTCCAAACACATTCCAAAACAAATGAACCAAAATAAATAAAAACACACTTCTTGTCCTGAGCACAAATCACACGCGGGTTTCTGTGGACGTGCACTCTAAAAATCCTTGGCTCCCGCGCACGGCATGCCCACAGTTGTACAGCATCTTGCGCACCATGCGGTACCTTGGACGCATGGCCAGTCATTGGATATGACATCCCTCACTCCACTGGCATCCTTTCGAAGGGATAAGTCCAAGTATGGATCCTCTGAGGGTTTGTTGAAACCTCGAAATACCTATATCTAAGACACTCTAGCTCTCGCCGTTGGGATTCAGATACAGCTAACATGTCTAACGGATTGTTGTTTTTCTTCCACTTCATCTACTTCTTGCCATCATTCTTCTTGATACAATCATGATTTCTGGGTGATCTCCCCCTTTTTGGCAGGTTCAACGGCTTTAACCCCCAGGCTTCACCATGACACCTGAACTGGGCTTCCGGGCTTGCCCTCCGATACCTGAACCCAGATACAATTTCTTTGGAAAGTGGCACGGTTCAAAGCGAAAATAAAACTTCACAAAAAATAGCAATAAACTTCCAAACAAAAAAAACTGGTGATATAACCGGAAGTAGTCTGGCAAAGTAGCAAAACTGGCAATATCATTTGGCAAAAAACTACTTTGAAAACTGCTCTGACCTAAGAAGTTGGTACATTTTTATCCCACTGTCCAACCGGTCCAACCGGCCTCCAAAGTCACTTTGGACTTGCCCTGGCAGCTGGGACACACAACAACCCTGAACAGAAAACATGGAGCTTTCAGCCTCCGGGTGTCATTTTAGCGGTGGAATTCGACCGTGAAAAAATAATCCTACCGTAGGACAAGTTACGTTGCTTCCTGGACAAGGAAGTGAACATTGCTGGGAGTTCTGTTTGCCAATATTCAGCATTAGCTTCCACAAAAAAAAAAAACATTAGCTTCCACAAAGCAGTTTCCCTTACATCACTTGCGGGTCATAGACCTCTCAACTAATAATTTACCAATTTTGGCGGTCGCAGAGACAATTCGAGAAACATAAACTATATTTCATCACCATTCCAAACAGTCGAGATTCACCTTTCTATGGCTGTTCTTTCTGAAGCCACAAAAAATTGGCTTGAAAATAAAGTGCAAAAAAAAATGCGATCACCATTTTCACTTCACCCTTAAACGAGCGAGATGCCCATTCCAGTAATCAAACCTGGCAACGGAAAATCCTCCGAACTAAATGAAGGTTTAGTTCGCTGGGGAACTCATCCATTGAGTTGGGCGAATTTCCAGCAAGCCACGAGAAAAATATCCCATTTTTTGTATCCCATGATCCATTGCTATCAATGATGGACCATTCTTAACCATCATTATTGACATAAATGATTAACCATGTCTATTAACATTCATTGTCCCATTAAGTATCCCATCATTGCCAAAAATACCTCTTAATGGGACATTCAATATCATTAACATTAACATTCATTATCCCATTTGGTTCATTATCCCACTAATCAACCATGCCTCTTTTTTTGTCTAACCAAAAAACCTATAAGGTGCCGCCAAAAACCTCCATTGCCTTCTCGATGCATTCCGCTCCCAAGAGCCGAGCGTCGAAGATGCCTCCGATCTTCGACGTATAGTGATGGATGATGGATCTATAACCAACGAGATTGATATGGCTATGTTAACCAGAAAATGATGATGATGATGATGACGATGACGATGACGGTGACGATGACGATGACGATGACGATGACGATGATGGATGATGGATGATGGATGATGGATGATGGATGATGGATGATGGGATGATATGAGGTGTGTCATGTCTAAATCATACTACTAGACTGTACTGATAGTGCTTATACAAAGTGTGTACATTATATTGCATCCAATACAAAATGGTCATCAAAAGAAGGAATCGTGTTTCTTGACATGTCTAGTGTACAAAACAGGAAAAACAAACGTTCGTCTGCAAGTCTTCACTCTCAGACCTGGGAATGAAGCAAAAGTTCCTCTACGAAGAGCAAAACGGTCACAATTGGCTTAGAAAAGTGTAGAAAAGATTACCACCCCTGAATTGCATTGTCAAAAAGAAAATGATCAAATTCGTGATCCCTTTTGGTGACTGAAAACCCACTGGCCTTCTTGGGTAATGACCTCGGCTCCAGGTCCCCAAGCGTGCACCTTCTGTGAATGTGGCCCTGAGATTAAGATTGGGCGGCTAAAATTTAGAGATTTCCAATCCAGTTGTCATCCATACGGTAGTGGGTTTTTTTCCACTAACCCAACCGAGGTTTCAACCCAGTATCCCCTCCGAGATTTCGCACTCCTTTCCCCAGCTTTTCTTCCAGCGTTGCGCCTCTCGCGGCTCCCTTGGGGAGTAAGCCTAGTACTTGGATGTACTTGGGCTGATTTACAATAGCCGCAATAGTTGTGTCTAATAAGTGGGGATGGCATTGTAAAAATACCACAGCTTCAGTATTCGGAGTTGCGCACAACTGTTCACGTGTAGTTTTTTCGGCATTTGCTGACCACAAAAACGTGGTAGTTTGTTGCGCAGACCCATCGGCATGAAGAAAATCCTGAAGAAAATCCTGAACAAATCCACCAGAGGCCATCAAACACCATCAACAAGGCCATCAAAAACACGCTTTGGTTTTACCCAATTCCTTCGTAAAAATCCAATTCATCAAAGACTCCAAAATCAAAGCTTCTTCAATGTAAAAAACAAGGTGGGCCAGAGAACCCAAAAGCAAGACGGCACACAGCACGATTTTTTTGAAAATCTTGTGGTGTGTGCTCTGCACGAAATCGACGTAAGATCTTTACTGAAACATCGTGCGCGCTGATGGTATCAGGGGCCGCAATTCACCACAGCATGCTGTGTCAGCTACGTCTACATTCTTCTAGTCGCTATTTCTGCTAATGTAATTAACTCTATCCCATCTTTTTAGCCGCTATAATTCCTGCGTTCTCGTTTAGTTTGCTTCGCCGCAGAGGGAGCGAGGACGAAGCGTCGACGGACAGAACACCGTGCAAAATGAAAACTAAACGACGGAGGGAGCTGACCAAAAGAGCATGAAAACGAAGATATGAAGGTGATAGGTGGTGAATGATAGTGAAAAATGAGACATGATGAAAAATGGGTAAAGACTTCTCTGTACAAAAGATTCTTTGCATAAATGCTTCTGTATGTAAAAGCTCCTCTGTGTTAAGATTTTGTTTGTGTAAAACTTCTGTGTGCAAAAGCTTCTCTGTGTAAAAGACTTCTCTGTGTCAAAGCCTCTGAGTGTACAAGCTTCTCTGTGTAAAAGTTCCTCTGGGTAAAAGCTCCTCGGTGAAAAAGCTGCTCTGTGTAAAAGGCTTCTCTGTGTAAAAGCCTCTGTGTGTGTGTGTGCAAGCTTCTCTGTGTCAAGATTTCTTTGTGTAAAGATTTCTCTGCGTAAAAACTACTCTGTGTAAACGCTTCTGTGTGAAAAAGCTTTCCTGTGTAAACGCCTCCGTGCGTAAAGACTCCTCTGTGTAAACCTGTCTGTGTGTAAAAGCTCCATTGTGTAAAGGCTTGTGTAAAAGCTTCTGTGTGTACAAGTTTCTGTGTGTAAAAGTTTCTGTGTGTAAAGCTTCTGTGTGTAAAGGTTTCTGTGTGTAAAAGCTTCTGTGTATTAAAAAAACCCTATGTAAAAGCTTCTGTGTAAAAAAGCTCCCCTTTGTCCTGTGTGTACAAGCTTCGCTGCGTAAAAGCTGCTCTATGTATATAAAAGTTCTGTGCGCCGTAAAGTCTTCTGTTTGTATAAAACCTCCTGTGTGTGAACGCGTCTGTGTGTACAAGATTCTGTGTGCAAAAGCCGTGCTGTCTCGGTCCCTCCCACCGAAGATCTCCCCAAGCTATTTCCACGCTTTCCTCCCAGCAAAGCTCTCCCCAAACTATTTCCACGGTTTCCCCTCCGTCCAGCATGCTGTCTCGCTCCCTCCCGGCGAAGCTTTCCGCAAGCTATTTGCACTGTTCCCTCTCCGTCCCGCATGCTGGCTCGCTTCCTCCCAGCAAAGCTCTCCGCAAGCTATTTCCAACGTTTCCTGTCCGTCCAGCATGTCTCGCTCCCTGCCAGCGAAGCTCTCCACACGCTATTTGCACGTTATTTCCTCTCCGTCCAGCATGCTGTCGCGCTCCTTCCCAGCGAGGCTCAATGCAAGCTATTGCCACTGTTTTGTGTCCCGTCCAGCATGCTGTCTCGCTCCCTCCCAGCGAAGCTCTCCGCAAGCTATATTTGCACGGTTTCCTTTCCGTCCAGCGTGCTGTCTCGCTCCCTCCCAGCGAAGTTTCCCCAAGCTATTTCCACGGCTTCATCCCGTCCAGCATCCGGTCTCGCTCCCTCCCACAGCGAAGTTTCCCCAAGCTATTTCCACGGCTTCATCCCGTCCAGCATCCGGTCTCGCTCCTTCCCAGCGCAGTTTCCCCAAGCTATTTCCACGGCTTCATCCCGTCCAGCATCCGGTCTCGCTCCCTCCCAGCGAAGTTTCCCCAAGCTATTTTCCACGGTTTCCCGTCCAGCATCCGGTCTCGCTCCCTCCCAGCGAAGTTTCCCCAAGCTATTTCCACGACTTCATCCCGTCCAGCATCCGGTCTCGCTCCCTCCCAGCGAAGTTTCCCCAAGCTATTTCCACGGCTTCATCCCGTCCAGCATCCGGTCTCGCTCCCTCCCAGCGAAGTTTCCCCAAGCTATTTCCACGGCTTCATCCCGTCCAGCATCCGGTCTCGCTCCCTCCCAGCGCAAGTTTCCCCAAGCTATTTCCACGGCTTCATCCCGTCGAGCATCCGGTCTCGCTCCCTCCCAGCGAAGTTTCCCCAAGCTATTTCCCCAAGCTATTTCCACGGCTTCATCCCGTCGAGCATCCGGTCTCGCTCCCTCCCAGCGAAGTTTCCCCAAGCTATTTCCACGGCTTCATCCCGTCCAGCATCCGGTCTCGCTCCCTCCCAGCGAAGTTTCCCAAGCTATTTCCACGGCTTCATCCCGTCCAGCATCCGGTCTCGCTCCCTCCCAGCGAAGTTTCCCCAAGCTATTTCCACGGCTTCACCCCGTCCAGCATCCGGTCTCGCTCCCTCCCAGCGAAGTTTCCCCAAGCTATTTCCCCAAGCTATTTCCACGGCTTCATCCCGTCCAGCATCCGGTCTCGCTCCCTCCCAGCGAAGTTTCCCCAAGCTATTTTCCACGGTTTTGTCCCGTCCAGCATCCGGTCTCGCTCCCTCCCAGCGAAGTTTCCCCAAGCTATTTCCACGGCTTCATCCCGTCCAGCATCCGGTCTCGCTCCCTCCCAGCGAAGTTTCCCCAAGCTATTTCCACGGCTTCATCCCGTCCAGCATCCGGTCTCGCTCCCTCCCAGCGAAGTTTCCCCAAGCTATTTCCACGGCTTCATCCCGTCCAGCATCCGGTCTCGCTCCCTCCCAGCGAAGTTTCCCCAAGCTATTTCCACGGCTTCATCCCGTCCAGCATCCGGTCTCGCTCCCTCCCAGCGAAGTTTCCCCAAGCTATTTCCACGGCTTCATCCCGTCGAGCATCCGGTCTCGCTCCCTCCCAGCGAAGTTTCCCCAAGCTATTTCCACGGCTTCATCCCGTCCAGCATCCGGTCTCGCTCCCTCCCAGCGAAGTTTCCCCAAGCTATTTCCACGGCTTCATCCCGTCCAGCATCCGGTCTCGCTCCTTCCCAGCGAAGTTTCCCCAAGCTATTTCCACGGCTTCATCCCGTCCAGCATCCGGTCTCGCTCCCTCCCAGCGAAGTTTCCCCAAGCTATTTCCACGGCTTCATCCCGTCCAGCATCCGGTCTCGCTCCCTCCCAGCGAAGTTTCCCCAAGCTATTTCCACGGCTTCATCCCGTCCAGCATCCGGTCTCGCTCCCTCCCAGCGAAGTTTCCCCAAGCTATTTCCACGGCTTCATCCCGTCCAGCATCCGGTCTCGCTCCCTCCCAGCGAAGTTTCCCCAAGCTATTTCCACGGCTTCATCCCGTCGAGCATCCGGTCTCGCTCCCTCCCAGCGAAGTTTCCCCAAGCTATTTCCCCAAGCTATTTACACGGCTTCATCCCGTCGAGCATCCGGACTCGCTCTCCCAGCGAAGTTTCCCCAAGCGATTTCCACGGCTTTATCCCGTCGAGCATCCGGTCTCGCTCCCTCCCAGCGCAGTTTCCCCAAGCTATTTCCACGGCTTCATCCCGTCGAGCATCCGGTCTCGCTCCCTCCCAGCGAAGTTTCCCCAAGCTATTTCCACGGCTTCATCCCGTCGAGCATCCGGTCTCGCTCCCTCCCAGCGCAGTTTCCCCAAGCTATTTCCACGGCTTCATCCCGTCGAGCATCCGGTCTCGCTCCCTCCCAGCGAAGTTTCCCCAAGCTATTTCCCCAAGCTTCATCCCGTCCAGCATCCGGTCTCGCTCCTTCCAGCGCAGTTTCCCCAAGCGATTCCACGGCTTCATCCCGTCGAGCATCCGGTCCCGCTCCCTCCTAGCGAAGTTTCCCCAAGCTATTTCCACGGCTTCATCCCGTCCAGCATCCGGTCTCGCTCCCTCCCAGCGAAGTTTCCCCAAGCGATTTCCACGGCTTCATCCCGTCGAGCAGCCGGTCTCGCTCCCTCCCAGCGAAATTTCCCCAAGCTATTTCCCCAAGCTATTTCCACGGCTTCATCCCGTCGAGCATCCGGTCTCGCTCCCTCCCAGCGCAGTTTCCCCAAGCTATTTCCACGGCTTCATCCCGTCGAGCATCCGGTCTCGCTCCCTCCCAGCGAAGTTTCCCCAAGCTATTATTTCCACAGCTTCATCCCGTCCAGCATCCGGTCTCGCTCCCTCCCAGCGAAGTTTCCCCAAGCGATTTCCACGGCTTCATCCCGTCGAGCATCCGGTCTCGCTCCCTCCCAGCGAAGTTTCCCCAAGCTATTTCCCCAGGCTATTTCCACGGCTTCATCCCGTCGAGCATCCGGTCTCGCTCCCTCCCAGCGCAGTTTCCCCAAGCTATTTCCACGGCTTCATCCCGTCGAGCATCCGGTCTGGCTCCCTCCCAGCGCAGTTTCCCCAAGCTATTTCCACGGCTTCATCCCGTCGAGCATCCGGTCTCGCTCCCTCCCAGCGAAGTTTCCCCAAACTATTTCCCCAAGCTATTTCCACGGCTTCATCCCGTCGAGCATCCGGTCTCGCTCCCTCCCAGCGCAGTTTCCCCAAGCTATTTCCACGGCTTCATCCCGTCGAGCATCCGGTCTCGCTCCCTCCCAGCGCAGTTTTCCCAAGCTATTTCCACGGCTTCATCCCGTCGAGCATCTGGTCTCGCTCCCTCCCAGCGCAGTTTCCCCAAGCTATTTCCACGGCTTCATCCCGTCCAGCATCCGGTCTCGCTCCCTCCCAGCGAAGTTTCCCCAAGCTATTTCCACGGCTTCATCCCGTCCAGCATCCGGTCTCGCTCCCTCCCAGCTAAGTTTCCCCAAGCTATTTCCACGGCTACATCCCGTCCAGCATCCGGTCTCGCTCCTTCCCAGCGCAGTTTCCCCAAGCTATTTCCACGGCTTCATCCCGTCCAGCATCCGGTCTCGCTCCCTCCCAGCGAAGTTTCCCCAAGCTATTTCCACGGCTTCATCCCGTCGAGCATCCGGTCTCGCTCCCTCCCAGCGAAGTTTCCCCAAGCTATTTCCCCAAGCTATTTCCACGGCTTCATCCCGTCGAGCATCAGGTCTCGCTCCCTCCCAGCGATGTTTCCCCAAGCTATTTCCACGGCTTCATCCCGTCCAGCATCCGGTCTCGCTCCCTCCCAGCGAAGTTTCCCCAAGCTATTTCCACGGCTTCATCCCGTCGAGCATCCGGTCTCGCTCCCTCCCAGCGAAGTTTCCCCAAGCTATTTCCCCAAGCTCTTTCCACGGCTTCATCCCGTCGAGCATCCGGTCTCGCTCCCTCCCAGCGCAGTTTCCCCAAGCTATTTCCCCAAGCTATTTCCACGGCTTCCTTCCCTTCCTTCGCTCCGTCCCAGCGAAGTTTCCCCAAGCTATTTTCCCTTCCTTCCCTTCCTTCCCTTCCTTCCCTTCCTTCCCTTCCTTCCCTTCCTTCGCTCCGTCCCAGCGAAGTTTCCCCAAGCTATTTTCCCTTCCCTTCCTTCCCTTCCTTCCCTTCCTTCCCTTCCTTCCCTTCCTTCCCTTCCTTCCCTTCCTTCCCTTCCTTCCCTTCCTTCCTTCTTCCTTCCCTTCCTTCCCTTCCTTCCTTCTTCCTTCCCTTCCTTCCCTTCCTTCCTTTTCCTTCCTTCCCTTCCTTCCTTTTCCTTCCTTCCTTTTCCTTCCTTCCTTTTCCTTCCTTCCTTTTCCTTCCTTCCTTCCTTCCTTCCTTCCTTTCCTTCCTTCCTTTTCCTTCCTTCCTTTCCTTCCTGTTCCTTCCTTCCTTTTCCTTCCTTCCTTTCCTTCCTTTTCCTTTCCTTCCTTTTCCTTCCTTCCTTTTCCTTCCTTCCTTTCCTTCCTTTTCCTTCCTTCCTTTCCTTCCTTCCCCTTCCTTCCTTCCTTCCTTCCTTCCTTCCTTCCCTTCCTTCCCTTCCTTCCCTTCCTTCCCTTCCTTCCCTTCCTTCCCTTCCTTCCCTACCTTCCCTTCCTTCCCTTCCTTCCCTTCCGTCCCTTCAGTCCCTTCCTTCCTTCCTCCTTCCTTCCGTCCAACACATCTCCGTCGAACACTCAGTCTCGCTCCCCCGCGGTGAGTGCAACTAAACGAGAACCCAAGCATCGGAGATGCTTTTGGGAAAAAAACAGACAAGTTCTGTGTTAGTCTTCAAAAAAACCATCCCAAAGTCCATGGCTGCCATGGCTTCCAGGCTCTGTGCCTCCAACTCCAAGGGGCTTGGTGGCATCCCCTTGCACCACGGCTTCGTAGCAGCGTGGCCTTGGAAATCAGGGCTGGAAAGGAAGAAGAAAAGCACAACATTCCTACGGAAAATAGGGGATGAAGAGTAATTTACTATTGGTAAATTTAGATCAATAGTAAATAATAGGAAAATCACTTGATGTAGACAATGAAGGAATAGTATGGAATAGTAAATGTTAAATCAATCCAAAGATTTAATAAACTGAAGCAACTCAAAATGATTAAAACACAATTAAAAAAAACAATCTTTAATTGAGCAAAGGGAGATACATCACTTGTTCTTCTTTACTTGCTTTTGACTCATCAGATTCGAGTGATACCCACCTCCCATTGACTTCAGCACCGGGCGCCCCTGCACTTCAGAGGTAGGCGCCAATAACTTGGAGGTGAGCACACCATCACGGCTAAAGAGCAGTAAACCTGCCGGTGGCTGGGGGTTCTGACTGGTGACTCAAAACAGGGTTGCCCTACTTGGTGGCTCATCCCACTTAGTAAGTGGGTTATAACCCCAGTTATAAATGGATTAACCTTACTTATCCCATTTAAAACTGGGGTTATAACCCACTTACTAAGTGGGATGAGCCACCAAGTATCAAAGCCACAAATTTGGTGCTGACCGGTGAATCATCGGACATTTTTTCTCCTCTGAGATGGGTTCGCCAAAAAATCTCGCCATGTTTGAATCGAAGCATGGAACATCACCAGGCGATGTAGCGATACCAAGGGGACACATCACGTGGGTATTGGTCAACTCATGGAGTAACGAGATGGTATCCGACTGAAAATGACCCAAATAGTTTGTCACCAGGATGATCTCAATCTTGACGACTAAGATTAAATCTGGGCGAATGATACTAATTAATACTAATTATCCAATTCACAAAATTGACAGAAACCAACTCATGCATGTCTTCTCTATCTTCTCTATGTGTTTTTATTCACCATCGATAGCTCGCTCGGTTGCAGCAGCTTCACCTGTGGTATCACGATCGAGACGACCCACTGGATGGTACCTGTGGATGTTACTGAGATGATCTGCTTGGAGAAGTGAGATGTCGTTTACCCTCTGGTAATTTAACATAGCTATTGGAAATGGCAATTTATAGTGAGTTTTCCCATGAAAAATGGTGATTTTCCATAGTTATGTTAGTTTACCAGAGGGTAAAATCTGAAGCAATTCAAGTCAAAGATCCAATCCTTAGGGATAGAGTCACATTCTATCACAGGATTTTCCACGGTTTTATGTGTTTTGCTACCCCAGAAATTTCAATGTTAAATCGATAAAACTAGACCACACAAAATCATTTGGACAAATACACGCAATTGCGTCTAACAAAATAGGGTATACGCATGTATAGTACGGGTCTATACTGGTTCATAATGGTTTATCATCATTTTCCCGACATACTGGTAGAAATGGTGGTTTCTTAAGTCATGGTGGATCCCCAAGTCATCATTGACCCAGTATTCACCAATAAATCCCATAGAAATGGCCATTTCTTCAGGGGGGTCTCCACATGTTTCGACCCAATTGGGACTGTTGCGACAGGGCACTGGCTCACCGAGATCCAGGGCCTCAGGAATTGAAAGGGGCTTGCCCCATATTTATCGGTATTTATCCATATTTATCCATATTTATCCATATTTACCGATGAAATCATCGGAAATAACGAATATCCAAGGGTGGAAACCATTAAAAATAATGAAAATTAATGTGAGGTTGAAGGAAACTAGTAGGAAACAAAGGAAATAATAATGGAAAATCAAGAAAGCAATCTGTGAAACACAATGGAATTCATGGAAAATGATTGAACATAAGTGAAGTGATACATCATTTCCATCTTCTTAGACACTACAAAAAAAAATCAGGTGGCTGTCTTCTCATTTGGTGGTGGTCCCTTGAAGGTTGTCCATAATGGCGTTCATGGGATGATGTGGCTCAAGTTTACAAGGATCCCCACAGCAAGAAACCTATGCACAATCCATCCTTAGGGTTGACCTGGGCTGTCGTACTGCAAGCCCTCTGCCGCCAACATGTCCTTCACCTCTTGCCTCAGTGCAGTTGCTGGTTTCACCCGGTAAAACTCAGCTGGGGCTCGTGGAATTCGAATGAAATTCATGCCCAAAATAGACGACTCTCACAGTTGCTTCTGCCACAAAGCAGGGGGATAAAACCGAGTTGATCTGGGCGAAAGAATCCACAGGAGTTGTAGCGTTTGATATTTCGGCTCAACACTGTACCCTTAAGACTGCCTTTGCTAGGATGCACTCCAGGTTCAGTCGTTGAACCCTTGGAACATGCTTAGATCAACGATGTTGGCGATTGGTTCACTTGGAAGCAAATCCGAAAGGCCTGCAATTTGCCGGTTGGTGGGTAGAGAAGCCGGGCCATACCCTCTGCTCTTTGTTGTTGTCGCAATTTCCCCCCATTGTTGCTGAAATAGTGATTACTTTATATATATATTATATATATATAGAGAGATCTATACAATCTATACATATATACAGTATATATTATGTATTAATACTGTATGTATATATATATCACAATACTCCAATTCTATTTCTATATCCCAAGAATTGGTTCTCACATGTTCTCGATCGGAAGCACCCTGCGACCCAGCGGCACTTTGGCGCGACCGCCCAGCTCGATCCGCACTTCTTCGACCTTGGCGCAACGCAATCGACGGAATCGGTCGAGGGCACAACATGGCACAACTGGGGATCCCAGCCATACAAATGACCCAAAAAAAATGATCATAATAGGTCAAATAGAATGAATAGCACTGAGCATGATTATGAGAATAAGAGCTTAAAATCATGGGAATCGTGATCCAGATAATCCATGAATATTATGATAATTAGTCTATGTGATAACTACTGAAGTTCCAGGGCCAGGGCCCCATGGATTGTTGGCCAACTGCACTGTCTTCAAAGATCCCGTGGTTGTTGTGGTTTCTTTTGGCTCACTGGGTCAGATTAAGGGAAACAAGCATTTCACAATCCAAATCCATGATAATCTGTGGTGGTGTCCTCTTTTTCCTGCTTGAGAACTTCTGGAATTGGCCATGTGGCCCTAAATGGATTTGTCCAAAAATAGGTTACCCCAGAATTCGATGGTTTTCCGAATATCATTTTGCCCTTTGCTTGATGGCCAGAAAATGCCACAACCCCCATTTTGAGATAAACAACAAACCTATGTCAGGTTTTTTTGGGCTAGATGTATAATATAATATCATAACCTTATATATATATGTGATATTGTATGATGTATATATATATATATAATGTATATATCATATATCTCATATATATATATATACATATCCAATATACAGCCGTTTACATTTACATTTCGTTTTGTTGGTTGATTTCCCTCGATCTTGGTCTCTGAGAGTCCCTGAGCTCCGGACCGCCTCGTCATCCCAAGGGGCTCGCTGCCCGGGCAAGGCATCCGACAGATCCTACACTGTGAACTAAGCGGTGACTTCACGAAACCAATGGGCTGGTGATGAAGCATGTCAAACATTGTCAAACGAAATTGGAATGGAAATTTGATGAAGTTTGATGAAATCAACCATAATCAAATCCCCTCAATACATTGAATTAGGTGATGAACCACCAAAACTGAAGGTTCTGGCCTGTTTTTTTTCCCATGTTGGTCCCATCAGTTTGATGCTGCGTTTCAGCTGTCGCTGTCTGCTGCCCAGTGCGGCAGGGTTTCCAAGTCTCTGATGGGCAAAAACGCGTCGGTCTCCACTGCCACGTACAAGAAAGAGACTACCCTCTGGTAAACTAACATAGCTATGGAAAATTACTATTTTTAATGGGTAAATCAACTATAAATGGCCATTTCCAATAGCTACGTTAAATTACCAGAGGGTATATACTCTTCAAGCGGATGCCACTCAGGGACTGTTGGAATGTCACTGACAATGTACTCTTGGGATGAATCTTCATCCACCAGGTCGAACACGTGAGCGATTCACACCTCAAAGTGTTTTCAAGTCGATGAAACTGCGCGAACATGGTACTCCAACACGTCACTGGTAGGAAGCCCGGCACATGGAGAAATATCTCTGCCAGCGTCCAGCGGGCGCAGCGCCTGTGAGAGATTGCCTCGGGCAGTGCATGATCACTCACCTTGCTTAGGCTGCAGACCATCAAATATAGGCCTCTTCAGAGTCATCGCTGCCGTCGTAGGACCATGTAGGACCTCTCCTGGTTGCCGCTTTCAAATTTCTGCTCAGCGTTAACCAGCTTGTGCAGAGATTCGAGGTCCATGTGAGGCTTGCGTTTGAAGACTTGTTCGTTCTTGGGCCCAGCTGTCCAGTGCTGCCTGCAAGCTTTCCACTTGCCGACACAAATTCTCAGATGCAGCGCCTGTGTTTTCCTGTCACCGAAGCTCTTGAACTTGAGCGTCCAAGCCAATCATTTCATTGCGCAATGTGATGCAGAAATCTTCAGCTATCGTGGACCTGAGCTCTGCTTCTTGTCAAGCTTGTGCTTCCAGCTTCCTCGGCGGGTGTAGATTGTGGTGCGCCTCTCCTCTGCGCTCTTTCCCTCTGAAACCTCTCAGCAGGAGACCCAGACGAATGAAGAACTCTCGTTTCAGGAGAGCTCTTCAACCGTTTGCCTCTCCTGTGCTTGTGAGAGCCAAGCCACATTTTCCCGGAGCTGCTCCTCGCCAGCGTCAGAGTCACCGATGCAGCCGACGTAGGACTCTTGGTGCTTGGCAGTGCTTGGCTACCCACATGGATGCCTCGCTGTGTAGGCTGTTCATCATGTTGGCCAGGAACCATCAGAAGAACGTCTGCGCCAGGGCACCATGGCTGACAAGAATAGGCCCAGGCCTGAGCGTTTCAGCACAAAAATTGGATTCGAAGCATCACTAGTCGACTAGGAAAAGTTAGATAAGTATAGATCAGTGGCCCAATCATGTCCAATCAATCACTTGAATCCAGGTCTGTTGTCCCATCTGTCACTAGTTGTCTTCTTAAAGCATACTGAGACTGTTGCCGTCCGAGATATCCATGGGATGATCCTTAAAACACACCTCGAACACAGTGGAACACCGGAGATGGGATCATCAACGTGCGAAACGCTCCGCTATTCCCATTGCCACTACAGTCGGAGCAAAACAAACGACTCAAAATTGGGCATCTTATGGAACCAGCTGATGAGTGAACCTCAGCTGGTAGATCAAATGACGTTTTTTTCAGCAGATGCTCCAACTTGCCAACTTGAGCTGGCTACATTAGTCCAAATTCAAAAAAAAAAAGCTCCCGTAGAGCCACAGATTTGACATGTTCAAATGTTCAGAATCAAAGCACCCAAGTTCGGGCAACAACAGTCACAACATGTCACAACCCCACTTTTCCGTACTTTTCATCACCAGTTTTGTTGCTTCGATGCCAGTTCTGGTGAGGCTTCAACCCCTGATTTTGTTGGCTGCTACCATCCACTCATCCACCCCACCCCGCCGTGCGGCTCTTCTCGTACATGGAGCTGATCACGTCGAAAGGCTTGTGGAACTTCAACAGACTCGGTGGGTCCTCGGAAAAAAACACGACTCAAACATGGCTTTGAAAGCTTAAATCTCCAGGCTTTGTAGATGATTCCCACACCCTAAAATGCTGGGAATTTCCAACCAGCCATGGTTGGAACATCAAAATCAGTGGAGGGGATCCCAGGGGATCCAATCTGGGCCTGAAAATTGGACCAAAATCCTCCATTGAACCCATGAAAAATCAGGGGATCCCAATGGCCATAAATCAGGGAGTACCCGGCCTGGTAATGACTAACAGTTAGCTATTGAAAATGACCATAGAAATAGTGGATTTTCGATTTTCCCAGCTGGAAAATGGTGGATCTTTCCATAGTTTTCGTTTACCAGAGGGTAAATATCAAAGTTTCACCGATCTTTCACCGATCTGTCCATTTTCACCCAAGCACCCGGTGCAACTCGATACCATCAATGGCCAGGGTCGCTTCTGGTGACACCTCCACTCTTGAGTCACGAAGGCAGTACAGGGAAGCCCGAAGGCATGTAACGATGGCGGGTTCTCAAAACAAGAGAAAGGAGTTCAATAATCAAACCAAGAAAACACAGGAACTAACAGAAATGAACCGGGTGTGCAATTTAGGAGCAAATCTCCGATGCTTAGAAGATCCATGGCAAAATGAATCTTTTGGCAACAGTTGCCTTTGGCTACTCCAAGAAAGACACACCAGAATCATCGCCCCGCAAATGATCTACACAGAGATGGGATGCAGATCCAGGTTCGTTGGGCAAACCTTGGGAGCACAGAATGGATGGTCAAATGATGGTCAGAACCTGTGGGAACTAGACCTGAAAAACCTCACTCCGTGCTGTTGCTTGCTTTGTTGCTACATCATAAAATCACCAGTTGGAACAATATATCAAATAAAGATCGGCCCTGGAATATTGAATATTGAATATTGAACTGAACTTCCTGAACCCCCAAATGCCGAAATTATCCAGTGCCTCATTTTCGGTGTGTTTACGGCTCGCAGGTGTCATGTTGCGCGGACAAGAGTTCATCCCCGGCCTTTTCCTTGGAATTTCGCACCACCTGCCGTCAGGGATTTTTGTTGGTTTCCCCATGGTTTCCCCACGAGAAATACTCCAAGATGGCAGTTGCAACTGGTAAAAATGCTGATCGACCATGGGAATCATCCAATCATCCGCTTTCCTCGCGGTCGCCTCACCATCCACGGTGATGCGCCCGGAACGGAACATGCGACTCAACTGCCTCGCAAGCGGTGTGGACTTCAGCAACCAACGAGGATTCTGTCACAGGCGGCTTAGATCCAATGGAGAGCGTTCAAACAAGGATTCGTTTTCAGACAGTTAAGATGGATGTAAGAAATAGTCATGAGTAGAAGTGGTATTAACCGTGAATATGCACCCTTGTAAGTCAATGACTGCAGGAGTGCGAAACTTGCTAGCAAAGATTGCCAACCGCATACTGAGTATACGATCATGCTCTATGCTGCTGTGAGAATCTTGTCTTAGTAAAGGTGTGGTGCTCAACGCACCATATTTCTGGGAGGCGGCAAGATTTATGACGCAAACCTACTTGTTCAAGAAAACAAAAATCTACTGATGTCCGAGTCATTGGATTGGTTTCAGGTAAAAGTGAAACCGGCACCTATGTTTCATGTTGCAAACCCTTGTTTCAACCGTAGATGATGGGAAATCGTCCATTTTGAGGGGCAAATCCTAAATCCACGTTGGGACAAAGCGCTAGTCCAAGATTCAGTTACCCTCTGGTTATGTCAAAATAGCTATTGAAAATTACCATAGAAATAGTTGATTTACCCATTAAAAATGGTGATTTTCCATGGCTATGTTAAACTACCAGAGGGTAGATTCCCATTCTACCATATATGTCCATCATGGCCCTTTCTTCCCGGCCTGCGGCTGACCACACCAAGGTTGGCCACCTCCTAGAGGAGGTTTGGTTGGAAGATCACCCACAAAAACCTGGAAAAGTTGGGTGGTTTGATGAGCCAAACGATCCAAAATTGACCCAGAAAAACCTGGATGTTGACCAAAAAACTTGGGGAAACCAACGAACTCTTCGATCTCATCAACTAATTTATGACTCCACCAATGATGAGAACTTCGTACGTTGCCACCTGACGCTGAAAATTGGATAGTCCCTGTGTGGATGAAACATCCATTCTTCGGGGGCAGCCGGGTTTACAATCAGTTTTCCCTTCCGCAGAATGGCCTGCGTGACTCTCTTGGGGAATAACATCTCAGCTTTCCCGGGACTTCCTAAGTCCCTCTTTTCCCAACTCGATTTCTTGCTGGAAACCCCTGAGTTTCGGTACCTTTTAGATCCTTACTCTCTGGAATTCGCCATAGAAAATGATCACTTTCCATGGCCAATTTCGACTCTCAGAGGGGACCCCTAACAAAATCCACAGATCTTGGGTGCCTTCTCCACCGTTCCAGCAACAACACGCCGCGCTGTACAAGTTGTGCTCGTTGCACTCCTTGCACGCGTGCACCGGACCTAGGCTGGACGCCACCGTGACTTGGTGTATTTTTGTTTACGAAGAGAGTTGCTACGGAAGCGAAAGGACATCACCATCTCATCTCACCATCAGCCAACAGGGGTCAACTGAGACCTTGCCATCCGAAGGTTGAAAATCCTTGAAAGAATCTCACAAGCTGCTTGATCTGATGACTGCCCCCAGTGGTCACCAGCTGTACTTCAAATCCTTCCGTTTCGTCTCAGCAGTGCCCAGGTCGCGAATGTCAGTAAGGGTCAACTGGGCATTGCTGGTGATATCACCACATTTGTTGAAATACCCATGGTCCGACACTAACAATGTATGTCTAAAATATGTCTAAAAATGGAAAAAAAGCGGCTTAATCTAAATATCAACCATCCATAAAAAGTGGTGATGACCATATAATTCTATGGTAGTTGACACTTGATCCAATAGCATTTCTGCATATCCAAATATCTATATAAACAAATACAATCAAATTTGTCTATATCTATGGGTGTAGGTCAAGTCATTGGGCACCCCAATACTTAGATGGTGTTGCTACTAGAAAGAGAATACCCGGCCTGGTAAACGTTGACAAAAAACGAACTGGAAAGATCCACCATGCTATTAATGGGAAAACTCACTATTTCGACTGGGCCATTTTCAAGTTCGCAAACTGTTAGTCATTACCAGGCCGGGTAAGAAGTTTTATGGTTTTTATGTGGGGATGGAGCCACCAGCCACCACTATGATCCACTAAACAGGTCGCCATCTGTCTCCTAGGTCTTCCAGCCAAGCCGCAGATATCACCAGGCCGGACATTCCCAGGGACATTCCCACAGAGGGCCGCCTGCTGTGGCTTCCCTACATGGGGAGCTTCCCACGTGGGCATAAAATGTGCGTATATCAATGGGATATCAATGGGAATCTGATGGAGTTCACCAGGAATATTAGTAGCTTATGCTTGGTATCCCTCTCCTAGGCTTGCAGCTAGGGCTTTGGTCGTCTCCTTCCCCGCACAAAAAAAAGCTGGAAGCTTATACTGGGCACTTTGAGACATCAAACATCCAATCCATGGCCTGTTTACATGGCTAGTTGGACAATCCATGGCCTGTCTACATGGCTAATTGGAAAATACTGGAGATACCGACGCGCTGCAAAAACTGGCATTGCTGGTGAGTCTATTTTCCCACAGCAAAGCAAGCCTCAAAAAATCACCACTGCGCTGACCCTTCCGCACTCCTGGCCGTACCATCTGGTTATTTAACGTAGCTATGGGAAATCACCATTTTTAATAGGGTAAATCCTCAAAAATCATCTATTTCTACGGGCCATTTTCCATAGCTACGTTAAATAACCAAAGGGTACCTTTTACTGTACTGGAAACGTGTGCAGTACATGTGGAAAGTCCACCATGAATTTAGATCCTTTTCCGACGGGAACCATCCGTTGCCTCCGACACTGCCTGCCAGGTGTGCTGGGTGCCACCAAGTGGCCCACGCCTGCAAATGATGTGGTGATCTGCAAATTTGAGCAGACATCCTCCGGAAAAAATTGACGTAGCAAACTTGAAAATCACCATTTTTATAGGTAAGTCATCATGCTAATCATCATTTTTATGGGCCATGGCTTCCAGTTCGCAAAGTGCTGGGCATAACCAGAGGGTCTCCCGGCGAAATCATCTCCCTAGACTTTCCACTGAACCGGCCGAGTTTCAGCCGAGTTTCGGCCGGAGGTTGGAACACTGGACTCTGGAAGGTCGGTTTTGACAACTTGTTAGGCGATCATTTACACACAGGGATTGTCTGCTGGTTGAGGAAATGGATCCCGATGATCCACGTGAGTCAGACGGTCGATCATCGGACGGTTCTTGGCCTACCGGAAATTTGAGACACGCCAATCTAGCTCAAGGGTCTGGAACATTTCTTTGGCCAAGTCCACTATTAGTGGATCATAGTGGTGGCTGGCGGCTCCATCCCCACATAAAACTTGTTACCCTCTGGTAATGACTAACATAACTATTGAAAATTGCCATTTATAGTGAGTTTTCCCATTAAAAATGGTGATTTTCCATAGTTATGTTAGTTTACCAGAGGGTAGAATAAAGGACTGTTGGTCTGAGGATCTAAGCTTTTGACCCACAGTGATAACGACAATGTAGACTATATACTAGAGCCCGATATCCATCCGATCAACATGCAAATGTGGATGTGACCACCCAAATCGCTGCTCTGTGCCAGCAGTATTGTGTCTATCTAACAACGATGACGGGGGATACAACAAATGACACTCCTCGCACAATCTTGTTTTGTTCTGGAAAAGGGTTTACTCACAGAGACCACGGTGTCCCCTCAAAACTCACAACCGCCTCCAACACGGCATGGCGCCGGCGTGTTGAAGGTTGCAAGGGCCATGGGTGGGTCAGTCAACCAACTGGATATGGGTATACCCCAAAAGGAATTACCAACATGTGTACATCTTCTTAGCTTCACGACTGGAGAAAGATACAACAATGGGGATATATCACCAAGACTGTATCTTGACGGGCTCTTGGAGACCTGGAGTATTTTTGTGAATGGGATGACGTCAACCCAGGGCTCTTTCAAGGGTCATTTTCGAATAATATCTGGAACCAATCCGGCCACTACAATCAACCACTTTACGGTCACTTTGAGTATTTGAATATATAGGAAAAACACTATTCTCCAGGATATTGACAACTGATAGATCGCAAAAACTTGGGTGTGAAGATTTCATGTGTTGAAAATGTTCCACTGTCAGCCAAGGGCTTTTGTCCAAACATGGCAGGTGCTTGACCTTCTGAGTCAAAGTTGGGTACCCCCAAAATTCTATGGTTTACTGATAATATATAAGTATGGTTTACTGAATATATATATATATAAGATATAATATATAATACATAATCTATCTGTGATAGTGTAAAATGTATCAAAGTCTATGGTCCCGGTGCCCTTCAATATTGAACAAACCTATGCTCCCCTGGGTCTTGTGGCAACTCATGAGACGGCAAACACGAGCTGGGAATGCAATACCCCAAAATGTTCGGGAATGGGGTACTGTACCCTATTCAAAAAACAAAGAAAGAGGAAGTCGCGAAATTAGGGACAACCGAAATCTAACTCACAAGCAGTTTTTGGACGTGAAGGTATTGATGATCCCACACTCTGCACGTGTGTTGAAGCCATTCAAGTGCACCTTTTGCACCAATTCCCCTGTACCATCTGGCTATGGATCAAAACCCTCATACAGTATATACTCTGGTTGTTACGTCAAAATAGGTGATGTTTCTTGGATGTTGAACTCTAAATTTTTGTGGAAGATCAGACGAGGTGGGGTCTCCCAGTTACAAGTTGGTTTATTGACCCCATAAGACAAACCATAGAATTCACCTGGTTATGTTCACCAGCTTAGCTACCTTGGGGGGCACCACCTTGTAGGTGTATTGGACTATCATATCATCAGTGCCTCTCCCTGCGCGATGTTTTTTCCAACTTGCTGTGTCATCCCCAAGCGCGCGGAAATGGTTGCGCTTGCGCCTGCAACTGAGGGCAAATGGGGACGGAAGCGTTCCATTGATCTCAAATCTCATCTTAACGAAGTGGACCACAAATGACAAAAATGTATGTTGTATACATTGTTTTCATAGAAAATGTGCATGGCCACCGCAACTTGGATACTGATTGCCCACAAAGTGTGTCATTCTTGATCTGGAAGCATCCACTTTTAGGGGCCACAATTTTGAAGCAACCCCAAACGATTTTCGAATCTTGACTCTTCGATTTGGGGCCATGTTGCAAAACTACTCTCTGGGGTGTTGTCCAACTACCCCAAGTCAAATATAGAGGCAGGTGGTTGCTACATAAAGTGGGAATCCTCCACAACGCAATCAGAAACCAGTTTCATCACACCAGCACATCCAAGAAGAAAGTTCACCATGTGAGCGGTAGTAAATAGAACCTTTTGAAGGTATAACGATAGAAGTATCCACGAAAAATGTTCACCTTTACCACTCACTGGGTATATTCCTCCATTTGTGGAGGAAAAAGAATGCCCATTTGCCAACAAAACCTTGAACGAGGTCGGCTCAAGTCTCCAACGGACAAAGTAAGGTTTTGATCCTCTGAAAATGGAGGTACCTGATTTCCAGACAAACCAAAAAAAATGATCCACTGTGTTGCTGATTATATTATATATATACGTGTATGTGTGTATGTATACACGTACTGTATATCAATATACCCTTTGGTAGTCAAACGTCGCAATGGAAAATCACCTGTAAGTGCACGTTTATAGCTGGGAAAATCATCCATCGAACCAAATATTATGAATGAAGGACCTTTCAGCCTGCCACCTTTTAGGACACCGGAGGGTATCCCATTGAATTTCCAAGTAAGTATCCCAACATCCCTTGTTATCAATGACAAACCACTATTGACCATAATCATTAACATATATAGTAAAGAACAATGTCTACTAACCATTATCAACTGCTAGTGTGTATCAATGATTATAATAGATCATATAACATTATATAGCCATTATCCATCATGATACATATATCCCATATAATTCATCGATCTATATATATATATGTATATATATATATCCCCATAAATGGATATCAATTACCATATTACTTACCATATGAATCATGATACATAAATCAGTTTATTCATGTATCTCATTACATACATTGACCCCACAACTGCTTCACCCGGACTTCTCCCCGTCACCTCCTTGAGCTGCGAGGCGTTGCGCCTCAACCCAGAACAAGAATGGCTTGGAAAGGGAGGATCGCTGAGGGTCCAACGAAAATGTTGCTTTAACCAACAGGAAGAAATATCCAAAACTGAGGTCTTACCCTCTGGTAAACGTTGACATGACTATGGAAAGATCCACCATTTTGAATAAAAAAAACACTATTTCGACTGGGCCATTTTCAATAGCAAACTGTTAGTCATTACCAGGGGTAACTTCTGTCGGAGTCTTAGTCGGCATTTTTATGCAGATGGACTCTGTGGTGAACATGGGAACTTGGTGGAGATCCTATGGCTTGAATAGCTATTGGTAATGCCTAACATAGCTATTGAAGTATTGGAAGATGATTACCCCATTGAAAATGGGGACTCTGGTACCATCTGGTTATTTAACATAGCCATGGAAAATCACCATTTTTAATAGGTAAACCATCTATAAATGGGCCATTTTCCATGGCTATGTTGAATAACCAGAGGGTAACTATTCAACAGCAATACGATTCCCATTGAAAGGAGAATCGTCTGGAATTTATGGTGTCATCTTCCATTTCCTTGCAGCAAGAGAAGATGGGCATCAAGCATGGGTACCTAACGAGTGAAGCGCTGTCAAATAAAGCTGTAGCTTTGCTTGATTGGGAGACACCCACATCAGTGGAAGGAGCTGGGGCTCCTAAGGTTCAAGCGGCAGCACTCCCCACTTTTTCTCACAAAGTCACTAAGGCTGTCCACGGAACGTCTCGGAGCCATCCCCGTCATCTGCAATGGGCAAAATGCGGGTGACCACTTGGGCGGTTCTCCCAGTTGACCTCCTCTCGCCAGGGGAAAGAATGGTGGCTTGACAGAATCCAAACGGTATTGCGGCAAACGAAGGCAGTGACACTGGCAGCTGCATCACCATCAAACGAAGCTGTCGGGCTGTCGGGTCTTGTTGACCTCTCCAGCACATTCATCCTGGTCAACTTTTCAACTTCTCCAGATCCACCAGCTCTCAAATGTGTTCAACCATCCACTTCACCCAACTTCAGCCACTTTCAACCACTTGGCCATCAACTTTAGCAACTTCACCCAACTTCATCAACCATCAACTTCATCAATTTGGCCATTCACTTCATCTCCAACTTCCAGTTGGTCACCTTGAAAGAAGGCATCACCAGTCCCATCAGCCCAGCACTACTTGGACGTCCACTTCACCACAGGTCAGCCCCATCGAGGCCAACGAGCCCGGCCCTTCCAACGGCGTTTCGCCCTTGGCCAAGGCCACCCGGAAGACGAAGACGTCCAGGGCCTGCGCCACGCGTTTCCGCAGCTCGTCACAGGAGAGCCTGGAGATGGAGATGTTTGCTGGGGAAGAACCAGAACCCCCTTGGGCCCCAAGGATACACGGAAGATCACGGAAGAATATGGGATGATATTGCCGGTATTCACCAGTTCTGGATAGTTCTGGGTTTGGGGAGTATTCACCACTTTGGGGTTTGGGGATAGGGATGGAAACCCCAACTGATGCAGAAAAAGATGCACCAAGAAGAATGTGGAATATGTGAGCCGCGTATGTTGATGCATTTGGGGATGGCCTGGGACCCAAACCGATCAAACCCATCAAACTGATCAAACCAAGCAGCGAGGTGGGCAAGGTCTCTGGGCCCCAGAGCAACTGCCCGCTCAGGTTGATGATTTTCAGTTTGACCGACATCGCCGCAGCGGATTGAAACCTTCTCCACACCCAGCTGCAGTCAACAAGCGCTGTTTTTAGTGTATCAAGCTTGCGCTGGTTCCAGCTGCATGTTGCGGGGTACTTCTGCGGTCATCCTAAAGATTCTAAAAAATCCCCTGACCTCTGGTAATTTAACATAGCTATGGAAAATCACTATTTTTTTATGGGAAAATCCACTATTTCTATGGCCATTTTCAATAGCTATGATAAATTACCATCCTGTAGTTTCTAAACCATTTGTCTTGGAGGTTTGTCCCAGTTTTTTTTGTCTGCGCATGGAAAACCTGGACAGTTCTGTGCAGGTCGCGCACGGCCAATGACCACTGCACTGAGCCGCTCGGGCTGCGAACGTGTTCGCATCCAAAAGAGACCCCGAAATACTGCCAAAATAGAGCAGATTTCACTGAAACTCACGTGATGTTATCCATATTTATCTGAAGTGTACCAAAATATTGCCCACCCAAATGCTGATATCAAGAAACAACCAGAAAAAAAAACACAAATTGCAGAATCCCCTTTAAATGAAAACAAACATTAGTATCCCATGAATGTTCGCCCCTTGGAGCCCGGACAGCTCTGCCATGTCGGGCAAGTCATGAAGAGATTTCTCCCAAACCGACATGATCTGCTTCTCCATGGCACTCAAATCGATCTCCTCCAGCTATGTGACTGGGGAAGAAGCCCATGGAAAAATGGAGGTTTCACTGGAAAATCCATGAAAATTACCCTCTGGTAATTTAACATAGCTATGGAAAATCACCATTTTTAATGGGAAAATCCACTATAAATGATCATTTTCAATAGCTATGTTAAATTACCAGAGGGTATCTATACATGAGGTATATTCGATTATCCATGGAAAAACGGCGATTTCCCATGGCTATGTTAAATGACAAAGAGGGTATATAAATCGCTGAAGAGTTGTGGGGCATCTGGGAGTCAGCCCAATGCCAACTTGCCACCACCGTTATTGTTGGCGCTATCCCCTATTTTTGGACCCTGAGAATTTCGCATGGAACCCAAGATGTTGTCATTCCCAACCAAAAAATCATCTTCCCAAACACAAATTTGGAGGCAGGGCAGATTGCATGAAAAATAAAGTGGAGTTACCACCTGGCAAAATCCGAAAGCCCCAGGCTCCTTCTTGGCAGTTTCCAGCTGACGTTTCAACGCGTTATACCTGGACCTAAGTGGGTCGCATCGGGATGCCATGACCCATACCTAACATCGAATAGCATCAAACACTGCGAAAGGAATGTTGTCGTAGATGTCCAACACAAAGGAGCAATCCTTAAACCATACATTGGTTCAAGTGCTCCTGGCCTACGACGAGGGCTACCAGAAATGTGTGTTTTGCAAATTGAAGATTCGGCTGTTTTCCTGGTGATACACGTTAAATCTTCATTTTCATTTCTGGCTTGCAATTTTGTCACGTAGTTTGGAACTGCGTGGGAACAAAACACTGTCTTTAATAAACTCAGGTGGTCCCAACAATCCACCCACCCTTCACATTACTGGGGATTGGTGATATTTCGAATGGACCTGCGCCGCTAGACATTTGGATTAGGAAACCACAAAATGTTCCCAAAGTCATGATGGATCAAAATTGATCAGGCAATCTATCGTGTTGCAAAAAAACAGCATCTTAAATTTTGGGAACCAACATTCTCATTTTTTTGACGGTGAAACACCGCTTTGCAAAGGGGGCCAAAAGGGATAGGTCGCTGCTGGAACCGGAGCCGCCCTCACCCATATTCATACGCGGCAAATCAGCAACACATCAAAAATTGATTAGTTTTCAAAGTGAATTATATGAATGAATTGGGATCAATAAATCCGTGGTTAGCATTAATCACAAACAGGTTTCATGGCCATATTCCAAAAAGCCGAAGGCGCTCTGCCATCTGCGTTCGGCTCTTCAATTCATCTGGGCAGGGGCACATTTTTTGGGTTTCCTTGTATGCTGCACGTTTCTTTTTGTGACCTACTGCGAGCCAAACGAACATTTAAATCATTTGTAGGCGTAACGTCGGCTCAACATGGGTGCAAATGGTAAAACATCGGCTCCACGCAGCGGTGGGCCCCTAAGTTAAGGCAACATAAATTAGTTAAAGCACTTAACGTAGATAAAAAGAACTTATTTTGAAGTTATTTTTCAAGTTATGAAGGTAACTTAGATTAAGTAATAACTAAGATATAACTTCAATAACGTATTTTGATCATTTTGGCATTGTTTCTTCATTTTTTAATCAAATGATCAAGCATTTTTGTTTTTTTCAGGAAACGAAAGTATTTTTTACACAGATTTTTGGTGCATGGTTGAATGATTTTTTTTGTGTTGGTTGTTTCGGGATTGTATTCAATTCCCGTAGCATTGTGGTGGATTGATTTTGTTTAGATGTTTTTCTCGGTATATATATATATATTATAGTCTTCTCTGAGACGGATGACCGATTTGATATTCTTGGATCTAACAGCGTGGAAGACGGATGACCGTCTTTGACGAGAGCGCGGCATTTTTTTTTCGGTTGTTGCACGGCTTGCTATTCATCACTCCAAGCATGTTAAATTTTGGCTTTCTTTGAGCCACCAGCATGGAACACTCCCGAAACGAAGCATCTTCATGTCAATCGCTTTCCATGTTCCAGTGCGTTGGAATCGTCTCCACCAAGGAACGAGTGATGGCAGCGGTTGCAAATCTTCGACCAGGAATCTGTGTCACGTTCGTAGACCAGGAATTCTGCCCCGTGTCTGCCCCGGTCTGCCCCGTGTCTGCCCCGTGTCTGCCCCGTGTCTGCCCCGCTCTGCCCCGTGTCTGCCCCGGTTTGCCCTGTCATGTTGACGGACTACCGTCATGGTTACAAGCGGCTGTCCGCACTTGGTGGACCACCAACTGCAATCGATAGATGATCTCAGTTTGATTTTTTCATGGATGCACTTGGTGCTGTTCATATATATATACATATATACATATATACGTCTCTCGTTTTGGTTCCATTGTCAGATTCATCCTGTTGTTTTGGCACCATTTTTCCACATCTTGCTGCTGAGCAAAAACTGATTTCTTTCCTTCAAAGAGGCGGATCTCCGCGAAAAAAAACAGCGGAGCAACCGCACACTGCAAAAAAAGCAAACGAAATAAAAGCAGAAACACCGCAGACAAACACACGAAAAAAATAAAAGCGGAACAATCGCAAAATGCCAAGTAATTGCACATTATAGAGCGGAGCTACCGCAATCAAAAAATAAATATTACAAAATATACAAAGTCTTTGTTAAAACGAAAACATGATATTTCAAAGAATTTTTTATATAAAAAATGAAAAACATTGAAAAAATGTTGTAAAAAAACAATAGAAAAAATAACTTCGAAATAACTTCGACAAGCCAAAAAAATACGATGAATTTTTAATAGATAAATAAATAACTTGTAAAATCCACAACCAGTGTAACTTACTTACAAATTCCAACATAGTTACGCTACTTAAAAAAACAAAAAACATATATGTTATCTTAACCCTACTTATTCCTATTTATCTATGAACTTAAAGCAAGATATAATTAAAATAAGTTAAGATAACTTCAGGGGCCCACTGCTGTGATCCCCACGCGTAGCCAGTTCTGGCTCAAGATGGGCCGTGTGCTCGCAATATGCTATATTTTTACCCTTTCAATGCCACAGAAACCTACTGAAAAGAAATATGCCAAAAAAAAAGAGAGAAACTTCTAGGACGACATAACTTCAATGTCTTTCAGCAACAAACTAACAACACATTGTATAAAACCAACGCAATAGAACGAAATTGGAGGCGCGACTGAAACTCAAAACGGACTGGGCCATAGGGACGTAGAATGTATGACCTGGACACTTCGCGGCCGCCCCTGGGAAGTACCTGCCAAAAAACAAACGAGCGGGCAAAGGCCCACAAAGGGAATCAACACACCTGTGACACGAAGTCGCTCCAGGTCTTCGGCTTCCAAAGGCAGACGCTTTTCACTCGGCAAACCCCGCAAATCCCAGGTGTGTACGCCCCCTCATCAGCTGTCCAGAGCGGGTGTAATACCAACAACACATCGACCAACAAGAGGTGTTCGGGGTGTTGAAGCGGAGCACTGCTGGCGGAGTGCTGTAGCCGGCCAAGTTTCCTGGTGGCTGTGAGTAACCGCTGTGAGTAACCGCTAGTGGATTGGTAGTGGAACAGTACAGCAGCAGAAACTACCTCTTACACCGAAAACTCAAGCTGAAGTGTCAACGTAGCACACCTTGGTCCGGCCACGGCACTCCACCAGTCTGGCATTCCTCAATCAGTCGCGGAAGAAACGGTGAGTCGGAATCCCTCAAGTACAACGTGTGCAATTGAAACAATCACAACCTTGACAAAAAATACATCTGGAGAGTGAGGAGGCCAAGATCTGCAAAGCTCCGAAATCGGAGGCTCCATGCGAGCTAAAAACCGAATAGGCCATGGATTGCACCTCGTCTAGGAACATAAAATGAATGACTTGAACGTTTCGCGCCGCCCCTGTGCAGCACCTGCCAAAAAAATGCGGCCAACGGCCCACGAAGGGAATCAAGGGTCCTCACCTGCGAGACGAACTCGCGCCACGAATTGGGTTTGAGGAGCCACACGCCCTTTACAGGGCACAGCCCGCAAATCTCGGTGCGTTAGGTCCCCTCATCAGGGTGAGTAAGGATGAGGGGCTTAAAAACCACCTCATCCTCCTCAGCCCATACCGACAGTGATGACAGGGGCATACCCGGTTACAGGGCACAGCCCGCAAATCTCGGTGCGTTAGGTCCCCTCATCAGCTGTCCAGTGCAGGGTGAGTAAGGATGAGGGGGTTAAAAACCACCTCATCCTCCACAGCCCACACCGACAGTGATGACAGGGGCATACCCGGTTTCGAGACGTTGCCCTTGAGGAACACCTTTAAAAAAAACAATCCAAGGCGCGCAGAAGCAAACACTCCACAGTCTACACTCTACACTTTCCACTGTCCACCTTACACTTTAGACTTCACAATTTGCACTTTGCACTGGGCACTCTACACTTTGCACTCCACACTCCACACTTTACACTCCACACTCTACACTTCACACTTCACACTTTACACCCCACACTCCACACTTTACACTTTGTACTCCACACTTCACACTTTACACTCCACACTTTACACTTTGCACGTTACACTCCACACTCTACACTTTACACTTTACACTTCACACTCCACAGTTTACACTTGACACTTCACACTCTACGCTTCACACTTCACACTCCGCACTTTACACTGGACACTTCACACCCTTCACTTTACTCTGTACACTCCACACTGGTGCTGGAACATGTTGCTACCTGGTATTGGCAAACTGTAGAAATTTCTTCGCCATTTGCACATTTCTTGACTATGGACTATGGGCGGTATTTTTGTTACGCGCTGTTGCTGATTTTGACTCAAACTCACAAAAACCGTTCACATCTTCCCCGTCAAAAACGGATATGAAAAGAAACAAAATAGTCACAATTTGTGCCAATTTCACTTCCGTTCCTTTAACATTGGCGGCGGCAGTAAATGTCAAGAACAGTTCTGCTCGAAAAAAAATGAAGGCAGTGAGATTGAATAGAGCCTTCAGAATAGATGCAAATAAGTCCATGCCCAAAACAGGCAGAAAAATATCTCCACCTTAGCGGGGCTACAAGTATGTTTCCTTCCTAGATACCCTCTGGTAACCTAACACAACTTTGGAAAAATCACATTTTTTTATGGGTAAATCAACTATAAATGGCCATTTTCAATAGCTATGTGAAATTACCAGAGGGTAAACTTCAATAAAACATTCCATCCATGGCCACAACTCACCTGAAAAAAGGGGTCGGCGGAGCTGGCTTGTTTTGCATCAGCTCTTCAATCCGTTGATCCCAAAAGACAAGAACAAGGCGGTCGTCACTGCAATGTTTTGGGGGGCACCTGAATTTGAGCAAAACTCATCTTTGCATTTTTTATTAACATGCTTTTCCAGTCTTTGGAAGGAGGATATCGTATAGACATGTGTAGACTGTGTATATGAACCTTAAAAGATAAGAAAAAAAACATATGTAGATAGCGGTGCTTGTGCAGCAGGTATGCACAAACATGCTTCGTACTTGGCCTCCAAAGCCCATCGATGCTTCAAGTAATCCCTTCATCCCCAACCGAGACCTTGTTTTGAGGTAAGGTGCCTTATTGGGTGTGAAAAAATAGCATGTTGCTTATAAAATCATCTGTCAGGATGAAACCAAGTTCAACAGTCCATTTTGAATTGGCTAATATTCGAGTGGATAGGTTGCGAAAATAATCACTACAAACAATCTTTAGTAATTCTGTGTTTTCACACCCTTTTATTCGATTTTGGTTGATTAACCTCCCCAGAAATCTACGACTTCGCCAATTTCATCGCCGAGGATCTGTCGATGTGTTCCTTCGACAGATTCTTCTTGACCGCTTCGATCTGCTTTCTCAGGTCCACCTGAGTGGCGCGTCCCAATGGTCGGATGTCGCAAAGCCAAAAAAGGGTGGGAAAAAACATGAAAAAACACTGCCATATCCTACTATATCCTACTATTTTCCAGGCATATCCTACTATATCCTACTATTTCCCAGGAATTATACTACCATAATCATAGTTGCTTTCAAAGATTCAAAATGAATGATGGGAGGGCTTGAATCATCATGGTTTCCATGAAGCCATTTTTATTCGGGGCCCATCCCCCATTGTGTCCACATATGCTGGATTTACCCATCAAATGAAAGTTTAAGCATTCATTTCACAATATTACAGATTATACTCATTGGTGTCATAGGAATTTCCACGAGGGAATAATCCACTATTCTTATCATAGAAGCCTTGTAATCCACATTGCGACAACAAGGCCGCTCGCCTAAAACCTGGTTGGCATCAGCGGGGATCCGTCCAAATGCTCCAAATTGGATGTCACAAAAACCAACGGTACTAATAGAGTGGTAGACCCGAAGACATACCATCTATGCCTCATTTTACAGTTGAGGGTGTTCTAAAATCCTGAAAAAATAGCCTAAAAAGTTGGGTTTGTTGCATCGAGGATTGAACTGCAACAAGATTTCAACAACTATAAATTACCAGTGAATTGCTTCGCTATGGCCAACCAATTGATGACCAACTGGACTCCTGGAATAAAAGCAGCGACATTACCAATAAAATCAGCATGGGTAGTTTTAATGTTTGACTGCTTCACTATAGAATGACAACATGGGTATGACGGTAGGCACTGCAAATTGGATGGTTTGATACTGAATTGGGACCCATTGTGTGAGTCAAGTGATGCTTTGCCATAGGAACTTCGTAACTTCGTCCTCTGACCACAGGTCTGAATCAGCTATCCATAGCTTGAAAATTGGAAGAGTACTCTAATTCCACTAAAGCCTCAAAAAGATCCAAGACGTGCTGCTCCTAATCCAATCAGACCAATGATTTGCCTCCCAGTCCCCAGTCCATTCCCCGACGCGCCCGGCTGCCAGGCTGCTACATGGAAGGCTTGTTGGAGCTGACTATCGCTCAGGTCTTTTGTGAGATCCTACTGAGAAAATCATCGAACTCAATGGGTGGGTTTTCCATTGCCATGTTTGACTATCGGTCTATCGGATGATTAGCCCAAGATTTTTTACATGGTGATAGAGTGGCTGATTGGGTCAAGACCTTGTGATTTTCCAGAGGAATGGAGGGTGAACATACATTCACTAGCTGTTGACGTGAAAGGTTCGGGTCTGATATGATCGCCAAAGGAGCAGACTGTTCATATACCGCCCAAAGCACTATCACCAAGGCTAGTTGATAGGGTATTTCATTATTTCATCATCAAAACAAAACAAATTGAACGAATTAAGCTTTTGTTACATTTCAGTATTGCTAATGGTTAACTGCCTGGTACAAATCTGCCAAAACGAGTCACCCTCTCCTTGTAGGCCTTCTGTAACGGATCGAACTGTTCCTGGCGTTTCTCTCCGGTCACAAAATCTACTGGTTGATCATCATTTTCTGCCCGTGACAATTGCTATTCTATTGGTATACTTAGGCATACCCCATGTTCAGACACACCCAAGTGGCGAATTGTGGCTCTTCAACAGCTGAACCATCAAATGGGTGCGAGGACCGTTTCCTCAAAAAAAAAAATGTTTGGGCGTCAAATGGTCAAGGCGTATGGGTTGTAGCACAACGAAGTGGGCTAGAAATGGGTGACTAGGTCGACTAGGTCACAAGCCCACTCAGAACCCTCCTAAGTGGCCTTTGTGGTAGGAAAGCGAATTGAATTTTTGAGGTCCCAAATCTTTTGAGAAACACTCGCTAAGTTTGGCTCAGAAATCCCCCACAAACAGACCCCTGTAGCAAGTCAATGGCATGTATCAACTTTCATGCCTATGGCACCCAAACTTAATTTTCCATTAAAAAGATGTGATACTTGTAGGGATTGGAAGATTCCCACCTTTTCGGACCTCTAAAATCTAGAAATCATAATGAACAATATCCATGACAGATACGACAGATACCTATGATCCACGCACCTCTGTACCGCTTCCCAAGTCTCCCCACCTGCAATTCCCGCACATCGTCGGAATGCACTGCATTGGAAATGAGCTTTTTGAGCTCTTGCCTCAGCTGAGTTCAGCGTCCTGAGGAAACTCTACACAAAACCATGGTTTCTACCGGTTCCAAAGGGTGGAAATGTTCAACCGATTCTTGGAATCAACACTGACACTCACTGACCCGAAAAGGCTGGTTTCTTGGAGAAAAGTTCACACCCCAACGCCAAGGTAACCCCCGAAGGTGAAGTGTCCACAATTCTGAGGGCCCCTGCAATCTTTGAGCTACATTCACAATCTCAAACAACCTGGCAGAGCTGCGGGTGCAGACTGGCTTGCATCCAAAATCAGGAAACTATGAGTTTTTTACTGTTTAACTCCCATCAATAGAGGGATGTCCTAAGGGATGTCCCGCAAATGTCTCTGCAACACATCTGGGATGTGCCGAGAGCACCTGCTTTCCTGATCCTTGTTGAAGACCTTCGTCGCATTGGCACTTTGGCCCCTCAGCATCCACCAAACGCTAAATCTTTCGACGGTATGGGTGAGAATGGGAGAAATATGGATCCTCTCTGGCGCTTTTCAAAGCATCCACTTGAGCGTTTTGAGCACCCCTGTTTCTGCTTGAGTCCCGCAGTGCCATATGGGATATGTATGGGATATGTAACGTAGTTTTGACAAACCGCCACGGAGTTCTTGCGGGCTGAGGAGCTCTAAATCCTTGATTTTCTGTTTGGTTGCCTCAACATCTAAGTTCATTCGTGCCTGCGAGGCCAGTGCATGCCGGGGAGGGACGGGGGGGGATGTTTGCAGCTAGCATCATTGGTAAACATGAGATCTTGTAACGGGAAAAGTAGGGATTTGCCGAGCCCAGAAAGAATGAAGATTCGCCCAACTACCGAAAGGAAATGAGGATGTACTAACATATGCTGCAAAAACGTAATCTTACCCTACCTAATACCTGAAAGAACTATCTAAGCAGAATCCGAGCCAGCAAAACAGGTGTTTTTTTGAAGGAAAATGTGTTTCCATCATTGCATTTAAACAATAGGGAATCAAAATGGTCAGGAGCAACAAAGTGATAAATGGCATGATATTCACAAGTATTTGCCATATTTCACTATCATCTATCACTACTTTTGGATCATCTGTGTTCTCGGCAGTTCCATGACAAACAGGGTTCCCATTTGGTTTTCTCTTTTGCTGAAACCTAACCACCTGCCGTTCTGACTCTTGAAACACCCGATTGCGTTGCCATGATAAAAGCATAATATGGGTGTGTCTGAACTAGGCTCATTACCATTTTACCCGTTGAATTTTTGCCGTATCCCCCGTTTCCAGACAAACCCATATGATTCCATCGGGCTGATTGCGCAAAACCCCAGCTCTTCACTTCACCCACTTTTGGTGAAGAGCCAAAGTCCAAGTTGCCAAAAAAGAAAACCACTCGCCACTTGGGCCGGTAGTACAACGTAGGGTTTAAGTTTAAGCATCAAGCACTCTTCGCGAACTGCCTGAAGAATTGATTTGCAGTATTCCACATACTTTGCAGGTTGTTTATCTTGCCAGGTTTTGTCAACTTTCTGCAACCGTTTTCTGCGTTGGTCACCAACCAGTTAGGATTGGGATCATCGTCATCTTTTGGAGATTGACGTCAGCCACGAGGTGAAATAGTGGGAAAAACAGAGAAAAAATGGATCCACTGGACCTTTAAACATCTGGTTTTGCTTTAAGATTTGCGATGTTACGTTCCGTTCCAAAAAACTGACATGGTTGCCTATGAATATCTATTTTATTCTATTTTCATCAATTGAGACCATCCCAAAGAAATGAGTTTATTCCAAATTGGGTATGCCCCAAATCCGTCAGTTCTCAATTGTCACATTCCATTTAAGAATAACCCATCCATTAACGTTCCATCTTTGGTTTTTTGCCCCATGATCCCATCGTGGTGAAAATATACAGAGGGGATGCAGCCCTTTTTGGTGAACGTGCCCATGTTTACTTCCACAAGCAATACCCGGCCTGGTAATACTAACAGTTAGCTATGGAAAATGGCCATAGAAATAGTGGATTTTCCCATTAATAGCATGGTGGATCTTTCCATAGTTTTTTTGTTAACGTTTACCAGAGGGTACAACCAGTGATCCACCACGATCCACCTGCCTCCTCATTGTGGATGCTTTTCTGCTCCCTCTCCATGGCTAGTCTCAAGTCATCAGCCTTGACCCATCGGCCCACCTGAAAAAACTTTGGGTCGGTTGAACCAGGAGGCTATGGGTCAAAACCCATGGAATTCCCTAGTAAACCTGCAAATACCTAGTAGATGGTTGTTCATAGTGGGAGTAGATTGCTTTGAGGGGAAAAAAATCAGGCCATACCAAAGAACGATAGATGTGGCGACCAGAAACCGGATGCCTGAACCGCCTGAAAAGAATCGAATTGTGTAGTGGAGCTTGATTTTCTGACCATTCCTTCGCAGTTCAATCCTCCCAATGAACGCTGGCTGTAGTCCTTCCAGACAGAGAGCCAGTGATATCCTCACCATCTTTTTGTTTTTTTGATGGGGCATACGGACCACTTGAGTTCAAGTTAGCTGCCCATGATCACAGTGGATGTTGTGCAACAATTGATTGGATATTAGTCGGATATGTATCCCAAAGATCATAGTTGGAGTTTATCCCAAAACAAATAGATAATCTGTTCAAAAGTATGAGTGGCTGGGGCACCCCAAGGTATTTACTCTCCGAGCACCTCCTCCCAGAGATCACTCAGCTGGGACTGAATCTCCTGGCTGTTCCGCTTGTCTAATCAACTCTGGAAGACGATTTCGAAGCTAACTTAAAGCAATATCATGATACGTGTTTGTCATAGGTTTCCCAGAAATCCCATTTTTTATCAGCGTTTTCCCTAGTTTTCCCTAATTCAAATGGCTATTTGGCGACAATCCGGCTATGTTCAGACAAAAATTCTTATGTTTATATAGGTGTACTTCATGCTCACATTGACTACATCAATTATGGTATCCATTTTCAACTGTGAGTATGAATTAGATATATTAGATGTGTATTTTCCATTTGAGGACACTTTCCATCCATACATCAATGTCTACTTTCCATCCAGGCGTCCTCGGCATCAGGACACTGCTGTTGCAGCGAACTCAACTGACTCAGCAGATCCTCGCAGCTGGGTTCCACCTTTCTTGACTGTTTTAGGGATAGCCCTTATATAGGCCTTATATATATGGTACCCTCTGGTAATTTAACATAACTATGGAAAATCACCATTTTTTATGGGAAAATCCACTATAAATAGCCATTTTCAATAGCTATGTTAAATTACCAGAGGGTAGGTACCTCCACTTTAGGATCCTGAAATTCCCATTGAAGGATATGAGTTGAATATGATTTGACTATGGCTCAAAAAACGGGTATGGATCGCGGTGAGCGGTGATCCGGATGGAACGAAGGAGTTCAAAGGGGTATGGATCGGGACCTTACAGTTTGAGCTGCAGCCATATATACAAGTATATTATATACTATATAGTGGCTCTGTGATAGAAATTGGGGACACGCTATGTCCATATATATAATAATATATAATATAATATATTATAATATAATATAATATAATATAATGTAATATAATATAATATAATATATATGTATGTATATAAGTATGTTCAGTCTTTTTTTAGTGGACACCACCACCAACTGGTTTTGGGTGTCTCCATTTTCGGGAACATCTACAGTTTCTTCCGTCATCAGCTCTGAATTCTGAGGAACAGCAGAGCATGTGTTGGAAAAATCCTCTCATCTCATAGGGTTCCGTCCCAAGTTTTGAGACTTAAGTTCTTGACAGGGCATGATGGTTTCCTCCGGAGACCACTATGATCTTCTATAGTTGAAACCGAGTCAACAATGCCAGGCACAAGTCAGTCTAATAATAACTTCTGTGATAATCTGCTCACTACACAAATCACCAAAAAATCTTTCAATGGCATCTTCAGCAGAGATCATCAGCCCCCACCCCCCAGGAGTAACCTCTTTGACATCTCCCAAGTCCAGTCTCTCTTTAATCCTTGGGAGATTGAGATCATGTGAAAATGCAGTGTCTACCAAAAAAGAAACTGCCGCATCTGCCGGTTGCCAGATAGGATCAAGTAAGTCAAGTTGATGTGACTTCTAGACTGAAATTTGAAACCTGAAAACGAAACATCGCTTTACCCTGCGACCTTGGGCCATGTTTGGTGTTGCTTCTGTTTCCTCTGAACAAGTTACTCACTTCGTGTGAATTGCCCAGCTGCTTTCTCGTATAACCAGATCTAGCATTACAGTACGTAGTTTAGGTTTCGCAAGCTTTGTACGCTTCGTGAGAAAAAGGTCGCGTCGCCAAACCCATCACACCAATAATCAAAATGTTGGGGGATAGAACCAACCCCAAGGCAGTTTTTCAGCCAATTTTCAACCTATTTTTAGTCTCCTGCATAGCAGTCGCAATGTGACCCAAGGGTCTCATGGATATACCAAGCTTTTCGCACTTCCTCCAGAGCAAAGGTTTTCTCATCATTTTGCGACCAGTTGTCCACCGATCGCCTGGTGACCGGCGTGTTTTTCGGAATTCCGGAGAAGAAAACAGGGACCTCAAAACCAACATGGGATCAGTTACCAGAAATCGCTGTTGTTTCCAAAGATATGGACACAGAATGTCCATTTTGACGATCTTCCCAACCCGGAACTACAATTTCAGAAAAGGTGAAGTATGGTGAAACATACAATCAGGAAGTGTTCATGGGGGTGGGTCCAAACAAACATCATCTATAACTGGGCCATTTTCCATATGTTGAATCACCAGAGGGTAGTTTCAATATGTTTCAATTGTGACTCAAGTGCCTCCCCCATGCTGATGTGGTTACATTTCGAATAGTACCGATTTTCGGGCCGCCCTGCCTGCTCCTAAGGAAATGTGACTGCAAAAGGGAATACCGAAGGTCCAGCAGCTCCTGCCCCAATTTTTTCTATAAAAAATGGAAGACCGGATTTACCAAAAAGAACAACGGCGAAGGACTTGGATATACGACCAATGTTTTTCGGCCCAAGAGAGAAATGTTTAGATGAGAAAAGAAACCCATGTTTTTCCGGCCCCTTTGCACTCGGCTGACACAGTAACTGCATCCAACGTCATTCAAAAATTAGAAACTCAAGTTTGGCCTGCATACACTGGTGGACCCATGCCATACCTGAATTAGAAGGCCCAAAAAGACAGAAAAATTGTACAAAACATCATCTATGCCATCTTGGAAATATGATTCTATCTTTTTGGTGGTCGCCAGGGTTGCCATATAAATTCCCCAAGTAGTATGGAACCCCACAAGCAGGGGCCATTGCCAAAGAGCTGACTTAAAAGTCGTTCGCACAGGTCCTGCATCCCCATCTCTTCAAGATGATCCTGGCGGCTACACAACGTTTAGCACAGACCTCCCGAGCCACAGCGCTGGTCATTATACTATAATAATGTATAATTTAATACTGTTTTGTAAAACACATTTGGATTAAACCACCCCTGTTTAGGGGTTCATTCATGTGTATTCGCATTCAGTTTGAACCACCTTCACCAAAAAGTTGTTTCATCCCCATTTTTCCTTTTAAGAAGGGATTTGTTTATGAATTGTGTTTGATTGATTTTTTTTTGCCTTTTCAAGCGCCCAGTTTCCTCGATGCGAAAAGCTGCGCAAAAGGTGTAGGCCCATGGCAAGATGTACAAAAGCGGCAGCAAATGACGCTCCATGCTGCAAAATTTTCCCACCCAGTGGGCGGCCGGTTCGGTAAGCTGGTGGCAGCTCCAGGCACAACATGAATGGCATCAGTTCTGAACGTGCAGTTTTTTCAAAATTTAATGGTACTTGACCATGTCAAGTTTCTGTTGTTCACTTAACTTACGTGTCATGTCTGAAAATGCAAAAAGACGCAATTTGCTGACAAAAAAAATCTCCGGCCGGATATATTTTTGGGGAACGTATGCAAGAAACATGCAAAACAAAAAAAACAAAATTGGAATCCATCACATCCTGGCACCGCTCCTTTTTTCCAAGGTGACTACAGATCCTTCTGGGTTTGAAGCCACTGGAAGACTTCAGTAGCAACCTGCGGCCATGTTGGCATCAGAAATGCAACGGCATTGCAAGCTCAGCAACAACCAGAAGTTCTAGGAGTGATGATGTCATTGGTACCAGTGGGAGATTTCCTGTTTTCCATGGACATTCACAGTTCACAGGTTCAAATAGTACAACACAAAGCCTCGCCTCCTGTTTGTCTGGATTCTTGTCGGGATGCCAATCCCGCAGCCTGGGTTGCCGTCTGAATTGAATGTCCATCTCCCCCTTTCAATGGAAAGTTGTGCTGGAGATCAGTTGATGGCGGACACTTAGGCGGAGTTCGCAAGTGTCCTCATGGATTGGGATTGACAGAGTCTGACAGAGGTTGAGAAGTTTGCAGCATTACAGCACCACTTCAAGGCGCTTTGGGTGAGACACCTTTGGTCCAGGGATGTCCAGGGGCCCAGCCGAGGCCCAGCCCACGAAACCGCAGTTGGCTCCGCTGGGGCCCAGGACAAACACCGGAACGCAGGAAACCACCCAGGCTCCGGCAGGGCCTGTCCAGGTTTTCCACCAACAGATGGGGTTTTCTCAAAATCTGGACCCTCAAAATCCCATAATCGTCTAGAAAAAATCCCCCATCAGAATTCCCTTTTTGATTTCATTTTTGAGTCAAAATGTTCACTACAAGTCCACCACCACACCTTGATCTCTTGCAGCCTTCGTTGGCACTGCAATTTTGCCTGGCTCGGACAGCTCTGCATTCAAAACTGGCAATGAATTTTGGCAACACATGTTCACCGCAGTACACGTTCGGTGATGGGTCACATTGTCTGTATCCATGGTCAATGCTGTGAATGTACATACCAGTGACTGGCGTTAATGTTTTAGATGTGTTCAAGACTGCCAAACGAAAAAATGCACAAGAACACCTGCATAGAAATCGGGTTCCACATGCCGGCTCACTCTTCGAACTCTTCGCAGACTCCACATATTCATAGGTATACTAGAGTATGTCAATAAGTATAAACGTACATATACACATACACATACACATACACATACACATACACATAGACATACACATATACATATACATCTACACATACACATACACATATACATATACATCTACATGCACATATACATTTACTCAACTTGTGCTTACCCGGCAGTTTGGGTTGGTGGTTTGGAAGTCTGGGAATTCATGATTTTATGAACTTACTGAATTAAACTTTATCAAAACCTGAAAAAATAGCTTAATTATGCCAGTCATTCATTCATTCATTCATTCATGCATTCATTCTTTCATTCATACATTCATTTCATTCCATGTCATCCATGTCACCCATGTCATTCATTCATTCATTCATTTCATTCATTCAGTCATTCATTCATTCATCCATCCATTCATTCATTTCATTCATTCAGTAATTCAGTAATTCATGCATTCATTTTTTCATTCATACATTCATTTCATTCCATGTCATTCATTCAGTAATTCAGTAATTCATGCATTCATTCTTTCATTCATACATTCATTCATTCATTCATTCATTTCATGTCACGTCATGTCATTTCATTCCATGCCATTCCATTCCATTCAGTCATGTCATTTCTGTCTATCCTTCTTGACATTACCAGTAGGTAAAATAATTATAGACAAATAAAATGAAAATTAGTTATAATTAGTAAGAATAGAATCAGATATTAATTAATAATTAATTATAAATTATTCATTATTTACATACTTTTAATTCAAGTAAAATACGTTGCAAACACTGATTTCCCAGAATTCCAAACCACCAACCCAAACCACCACGTAAGCGTAACCTGAAGTAAAGTCAAAGATCATCTCAAATATTTTCAAATAATCTGTTGTTTCAAGTGGGTCCCAAGTGAAGTCCAAAGATCATCTCAAGTGAAGGTATTTCTAAATCCAGTTTCAAGTAAAGTCCAAGCAAAAAGTATCTCAAGCAAAGTTCATTGAGCTGGATCTCAAGTAAATTTCACTGAATATATCCTGAAATAAAACTTTACGTAAGATAACGTTAGTAGAACAGTCGATTTTACGTAAAATTCAGGGCGAGTGAAATTACATGAAATTACTAATGTTGGAGACTTTGGGTCCTGATATCCCCCAAGCCTAAAATCTCCAACAATGATCGTTTCCTGTCTTGGGTGCCAGGCCTTCTTCCCAAACTGCACCTTGAAATTCGTCAAATATGACGAATTTGTATTCCTTGGTTTCCCGAGGTCAGGCGATCACCACCTATCACCAACCCTCATGATTTCGTAGACCATCATCGAGGGGTAAGCTGCTTCATTGCCATTGAACAACTCAAAACAAACAGTTTCCCTCGATATAGCCCTCCAGCTGCAAACAATAACATGAATTCAAGATCCCTGAAAGAAATGTATTGCCTGAGACTATGGCAGAAATCTGTCGATATTCTCCCCCAACTATTCTGATGTTTTTCCCTGAAATTAGGGGACAAAATATGGTTTCTAGCCAGACTCTTGATTTCTGATTCTGTTTTTCTGCATCACCTTCAAATGTTTCTAGTTCAGTCCACAAAAGTGGCGATAAAATGCATATGCATATGTTCATATGTACATATGTATGTGTTTGTGTCATGTACATTCTTCTTTGTATAAAATAACTATTATATAACTATATTCAATTGTAGATTATATTGTACACAGCCCATGTTACATTTGTTTATACTTGATGTCTCATACACAAATTCACACAATGCTATTCATCCCTGCAATGTTTCCGCTCCCCAACGGCCCAAATGCCGGTCCTCAAAAATTACAACCAAGGCTCTACTGGCGCCTCAGAGTAAAATCCAGTACCAACACCAGGGATTGACCACCGAAAATGGGAATATGAATCTAGAATGATTATGGACAATACACATTTCATTGCATTTCCAGGTTCAAACTCTTCTCCGATTTTCAATCCCACTGACAAAGGGGCCCCAGCTAAGTTCTCATCAGGTGTGAGAAGACTGGTGGAACTTGGTTCCATGATGATGGCTAAACTTAAACAAAGATAGGATCACAGTGACAGTTCATGACGGATGGATAATGGTTGGATCACTTGAACAAATTGGTTGGGGGGCAGTTCAATATATTTCAACATGTGTGAATCAACAACCCAAACCGCCAACGTTGGTCGATCAACCATGATCAACCCACCTGCATCTACCAGACCTTGCAAGGGATTCCAATGCGTGAATGCATACAGGTCTTGTTGAAATGTGAATGCAGCTGTTCTTCCAAACGGTGAATTAGAGTACCAAGGCCAAGAACATCCCAGAACTATATGTAAAATATCCATAAACATGCCAACGTGTAGACTTCATAGTTGTGTCTCACGTGTGTCCCGTTATAAGTAGCATGGAGTGTAGACACTGTGCTGTGCGCTTGCCCTCCATATTATTGCAACAAAAATGTCTCGGAAACCGATGTTTCTTGTTGCTTCGCTCCCCAATAGTGCCAACATGTTCCAACTGTGCCCCCGTAATTTTTGATGTCCACGTTCCAAATGTCCACCCCTTCACCACCTTTGGCCCTTTAGCACAGCTTGGCGCTCCCCACTTGGCATTGAATACTCCCAAACCACATGGGATATTTCGAAGGCTGGCGCATATTTATTGAACAAATCTATGGCATGGAATAAATCACATGACAGCCATTGGAATCTGATGTATTCTGGAAGAGTTGATTCTTTGAACCAACGCATGTCTGAGTTCATTCAACAACAACATCAATCTTGTCACTGAAGGGATGTCGCAGCGTCATACCCAATCTTATTAAATCATACTGCATCATTCCAAGATATCTCCAAACACGCCAGGCGGACATCTGTGGTGAGGGCTGGTGCCTTGGCCGGATCCCAGTTGCCAAGCCTGGCGCAGTTGCTGGCGGAACCATGTAGCCCAAAACTGGGTGAGAAAAACATGGACAACCAGGTCCAATTTTTTTTGGATGTCTAAGTCTTGTCTTTGGAAGGTAAAGTGATCCAACCACAACTGGGAAGATGACCAATGAAATGGGGAGTGTATATCCAAAAATGCACCGTGTGGGCCTACTCAAACTCATGGGCGTGCCAGACAATGCATGCCAAAGTGGCTCGGGACAGTTGCCCACCACTCGTACGCTCTGGCCGAAGCGGGTTTCGGCCTTGTACACAAAAGCCTGGGCGCTGCAGATGTCCGTTGTACTTGTCTCAAAATGGGGCCCAGGGTGGGCGATGATAACCTAGATGGAATGGTGTGCCATGCTATTTTCACACTATATCACAGACTACTGTAATTTATCCAGCAAACGGATGTCAGCCAGTCAACATACTGTACTCCAGGTAGGCACAAAGGCACGGAGACCCCGCGCATGAATGTAGATTCAAAGCATTTCCACGGTCATTCCTTTACTTGTCTGGCAGAAAGAATGTTGTTTCTAAATAATTGCGGAACCGTGAAAAACATCGACCACCAAATTGCTGAGCTTGGGTGTACTCAGTTCAGGGTTAGATTATGTTAGATCTGTTTGGAGCATTCCCCAGTCAACCAACGGGTTTTTTCAATTTATTTCAATCTGGGGATCGAACTTGGTGGGAATTGTTAGATTGTTGGTTACTTGAGTTCAGACCCGGCTGTAATTCTACCTAAGTCATGGTAAATCATTCCTGATCCTTTTTTTCCATGGATCTCTCATACTTTTCACTACACATGGAAGGGCC